ACTTAACTTCACTGGTTGGGTTTTTATTGGCGGTCAAGCTGTAGATCCTGCCTATACATTATTTGCAGCAGTGGGAATGAGAGGTGGAAATAGTCCCGTGCTGGGCAAAGGTCTACCCCAGAAGCTTAAATATGACCACTAGAAGTCACCACTCACTCCCACTTTTAAGTTTATATCTTCAGGCCAACCTTTTGAAGCAAGCTTTTACTAAAAGTCAGTATAATTTCAAATCTGTAATCACAGAAAGAACCTACAAGTTACATTGGAACCATTTTTCTTTCAGTCGATATGGCGAGACCCCTCCTTTAGCCTTACGATAGTCGGAATACACTGTATGATGGCGTTTTTCATTGGGTTCCTGTTCTACAACATCGGCGAGGACGCGAAATACGTGAGAGACAGCTACAATATGCTTTACTTCAGCCTAATGTTTCTAATGTTCACCGCCTTCAGTTCTGTTTCCATTCACTGTAAGTATCACACATTCCAGTCGCTAATCGTACCTAATATTATTATATTTATAAGCATAATTATCGTTTTAAATATTATCAGTCCAAACTTCTTTCATAAGTATGTCACTTGTTTTGTTACTTGTCTATATATCTTCTAAAGCTCTAGGTTTATAGAGCGCACTCTACCCACAGACTCTCAAAGTCAATGAGTAAATCTGAGTAAAACTTTTGACTAATAAGCACTTGTAAATACTGCACTTGAAATGAAATTAAATCTTTTGAAGTAATCAGTTCTCGAAGATCTCGTAAGATGCGATTATCAGCCCTCCCTAACTCATCTGGTTGGCGTCGGGAGTGCAATCAAATCCATTTGCCTCTAGTAAATTGTAGAGGATCGTATTTCTGTAGGAGAGACTAAATTACCTGATGATGATGATACACCAGAATTTGTGGCAGTGATTTTAGACATACCTGTGTGTTTTCAGTTCCCGATCAAATTCCCGTGGTGCGGCGCGAGCATTTCAACCGTTGGTATACGGCTGGCGCGTACTACATCGCTACACTGATATCAACATTACCCACGCAGACTATTTGCACCGTCAGCTACGCCTGCATAGTGTATTGGCTCACGGGCATGCCTCCGGAATTTGTCCGCTTTGGCACTTTCTGCTGGACCTTGCTTCTAGTCTCGTACGTCGCTCTCAGTGTCGGACTCCTCAACGGATCGATGTTCAATGTCAAGGTGAGAATTAACCGTCTACTTATCATCAAAAAGATCGAATACATTCTGAACAATAAGTTCTTACATTATGCGATTAACAAAGTCTGTCTAGTTGTCTACGTAAGGTATGACAACCAATTCTTTGGCTTCAGATTTTTTACTCATGTTATAGCTATAGAAAATGTTTGCAATGCAAATTGTTGGAATTGAAATTAATTAGATACGTTTGCACCTTTTCAGAATGGAGTGATCTTCGGGCCGTTCTTCATAATGCCGTTCACGATATTCTCGGGCTTCTTCCTGCGGTACAGCGACGCGCCGGTGATATTCCGCTGGATGTTCCACATCTCCTTTCTGAAGCACGGCCTGGTGGGCCTGGTCTTCGCAGTCTTCGGCATGGACCGGCCCAAGATGCCTTGCTCCGATATCTACTGCCACTACACCGTCCCGAAGAAATTCATCGATGACGTACAAATGTCGAACGAAAACTACATCATCGTCATGATCGCTCTCCTCGCCATAGGCCTTGTGGTCACGGTGCTTTCATATATCATACTAAAAATTAGACTCAAGAACAAATGGTGAGGCGAATCAGGGTCTTGTCAGGTTCTGGTGTTGTTAATTTAAGAGTGCCATAGCTTGGATAAGTAAATATGAGAATATTGCAACTGCGAAGTAAAGATTTTAGTCTATTAAGATTAAATCCATATTTAATAGTGCAATTTCAAGACATATCATTCCAATTTTGTTCACTTTTGTTGGTTGTCTTCGATGGTTTTGAAACTTTTGAATTGTATAATGTGGGACAAATTGTGTTGGTTGGGTCTTTTGGGGATCTACTGCGAAGATCGCTTGTGGTTAGCTTAATCTCTTTTATTATTAAAACATTCCAGGGTGAGTGAGTTAAACGAAGAGATTCGAATAGTTTTGTGGGAAAAGGCATCAAAATATGACACCGATTTAAGTCAATATGGTTTATAAAATAAGGGATATCTGGTCCAGTGCAGGATCTTGACAGTTTACAATTAAACTTAACATGTGTAGCCAATTAGTATTATTTATAGGTACTTGAAAGGCTTTAGAGAAGATAATTTTTGAACCAATGGTGCATTTTATATTGCTGAGTTTTAACGAAAAATAGTGAAACGTATGTAATTGAAAATAGTAACATAGCTTGTTAGCAAGAATCTTAGTAGACTTCCATATATTCTTGATATGAGTTAACAGATATATGTATTTTTCCATTTTGGTGCAAAGTGATAGCAAGGACCAAAATAACAAACGATCGAACAAGATAATACTATACGAGTACAAGTACCTAGGATTCCTCTAAATGCAATAAGTACTATGTACTTAATCTGTGATGTTAATGTACATAAATATAAATCAAATATAGGTACCAAATATAAATGCGTTTGTAGATAGATAAATTGTAGCATAGATATTATTGAATGATATAGATTTATACCTAAGGTTAAAAGAGATTTTTACTTATTTTATTCGTTCAGCAAAGAACAAAATGACATATTGCTAATATGGGATATTGATACTCTGTGTCGGGGTTTTGTGAAGATGCGTGACAGTGTATTGTATTAAATGAAGATTATTTATTGTATCACCTTTTTGTATTAATGCTATCGGATATTATTGCTGTGGTAGAGACGATATCACATCACATGAAACTACACATTCTTTTTGCAAAATTGCCCCTAATACAACTATGTATAAGATGCCACAGTGTTTATCTTAATTTATTGTCCTCTGTACATCAGATAAGAGTAAAAGAAATAAACTAATATGCATTGTTGTCGCTCTAGTTGATTTATTTCGAGTTTTTATAGAACAATCCTTTTTCTTCTTAACTATAGCTTCCACTGTACCTTGCGAAAATACCTCAACTACCCTGTGTTATTCCAATCTTACACAGTGTGAATTAAGGAAAATTGTGCTCTATAATACCTATTTAGAAAAATCACATTCGCTTCACTTTTCCGCAGCCCTGATTATAATATGTGCAACCGTGCATACAACTATAAAATATTATTAATGAATAGGAAATATTAAGCCCAGTAAATACATTAGGCCTAAATAAGTATGTTTTAAAAAAGCACTGAGTACACATATTTCACAAACTAACGCATAGGTAGGTTTCCTATTAATGAAAGTTTTACTTATATTTCGGCTAAGATGCCAAAATTCCATCGCCTATCATGCTCACAAATCGGCTTACAGGCCACTTTTCGTCGTATAAAGTGAATGGAACCCAGTTCAACAGTGCAATAAACGCAGGCAAAAAAATGATTCCTAAAGTCCTCACACTGCATCTTAATTTTTTTTTTCCAAGTTAAGACGATAATTTATGTCATGCTTAAAGATCGTTCGTTGCGTTCTCTAATCATGGTCTCCCCTCCAATGAGGCGAAAGTTGCTGACTTGATACCTTTTCGTAGTTGAGACACTTTGCTGCCACTGGCCTACAAAATATCACACTGTAGCAAACAGTAAAACGATATCTTACTACAAATCACTATTTTAAGAGTTACAATGTTTTCAGGTATTTTTTACGTAGAAAATTTATTTTTTTGATATTGTATTCTTGTGTGTTACTATATTTTTTATATTTATTTATTTATTTATTTGAACACCAACAAGGTTACATTGAGGCTTCACAAAAGTAACTATAAAAAATGACACTTGTTAAATGCAAACTTAATTATAGGTGAAAACATCATGCGTTAGAGACTAAAGCAACAGCAATTAGGGGTTAAAAACTAAAAGTTTTTATTTTTAACAATTGTAATATTCAAATGTATCTACTTTGACTAATGATAGCATGAATGTATTAATACAAACCGACAGAATACAAAATTCTAAACATTTTAACATAGCGTTTATTTAAATCTGTTATCTTTGGGTTTTTGGTACAGTTTAATAGCGAAACAAGTATTTTCCATTGGTACAAAACCAATAAAAGACTATCTGATCGTGTGCAGAGGTATATAGTAAGTAGTTAGTCAGGTCAGGGCAATCAACATTTACTTAAACTCAACAGATGCTGTCAATTGCCTCTGAGCTTACATTTTCTTTTATTTGTTACAAAATGTATCATTTTGCTATATTATTCGTACACTAAGTTCAAAACAGTTACACTATTGGAATCTATTTTATTTTATAGCTCTACCATCAATTTCTGTCTATGAAAATGCTAAAGAACAACACCGGGGTCAACAACTTAAAGCTGAAAAGTATTGGATTAAAGAGGTCGATTGACCCATCTATGCAACAAAACCGCTATCAAGCGCATTCAAAAGTAGGCAAATAGTTACATTGTTACTCGGTAATCAACAATAAACCATTATCTAAATGTTATCAATATATCCACATCAGGTGTAAATGATAATTAGGTTACGAACGCATAATGATAATTTCGATGATATTTTAAAATCCAATGTCAAGTGCGAGGAGTCGCACACAAAAGGTTCCGGACAAAAGCATATATTTTATGCAAGATTCAAAAACTGCACCATAACCAGTAGTTATTTGTTAATACCCTCGTAAATCAAACAAAAACGCTTATTTTCATGTGTTTTATAGCAGCGTTTGCTGCTACAACAAAATCTTGTGAAATATCAACCGTTTGTTTACTAATACGGTTCATGACAGACAGAGGGCCACAGCGGAGTTTTTAATAGGAGTCTTGGGTACGGAACCTTAATAAACCAGTAGCCAATCTCAATCGGTAATCATGTGTTCAAAAATAGTCACTACAATTAAGTCAGCTTTGACTTATTTGTAAGAATTCCGTATGCACTAAGCCACTAACAGGGCCATATCTCTACCAGTCGGTACTTAAGGTGGGTGAAAGCAGCCCGGCTGCGCAAGCCCAGTCCCAGACGCGTCGTGCTCGGGGCCGCTACGCGCGCGCCGTCTCCACTCAATTTTCCAATTCCGCGCGTTATGTTAAACGTTATCTTCCGTTCTCATTAGAAGTGATCTGTTTTTGTTGACACATGGACATGGAAGCAGCCAAAGACGACTTGAGTTTCGAAGATGGGAAGCTGGTGGTGTTCACCGATATTGTTTGCAGAGTCCCACAAGCCTCTATGGGTAAGTCTCATGAGAATATCTTGAAATAGTTGCAGTAACATGCAGAAAGAGAGTTGGATTCATTTTCTAAAGGATGTGTTTTGTAAGATATTTTTCCATAACTTGCACATGGTTTCTGATTGTCACTTTGTTAATCCTTTTCATAATTTTGTAATCACTTTGTGATACTGTGCTTAGACCGATATGAAAGATATTTATGGAGTAAAGTGATTACATTAACCAATAATTCATTTCATTGTTCAAAACAATCATAATAAGAGAGACGTACTCGACGAGAAATGTAGAAGAATTATAAAAATGATATGAAGGAATAAATAAAAGGAAGTCTTATCTAAGTTTCATTGTATTCTTAAATTAAAAACAAAGGAATGATAATATGTCCTATATGTTATACATTTATATTAATTTTAACATCCGAGATATCACGACGTATTGAAGAGCACAAGTAAATAAACAGATTTTAGGCTCTAGAAAAGGTTAAACCAATACCCATTATCCAATTGCCCCAGTTCCGCCATAATTCAATGCATTTATTGCAGCACATTCATATGAGTAACTGCGTCTGTCGCCAAATAAGTGGGCAAGCTTATCATATTGTCTGCCCTTTGGCCTATACACTAGTCAATATCCATATAAAGTGCAATATCACAGCTGTTTATTATGCCTTGCACCGTTTATTATCAGACGAAAGTATTCTTCTAATGACCTACATTGCATTAAGCCGTGGCAAAATATTAGAATAGGGCCCAATCTACCCGTGGATGTCGTAAAAGGCAAGTAATGGACAAATAATGCGAACATCAGGACTCCTCAACCAGCAAGAAGTGTTGGCCAAACCCTCCATTTTCCTCGGGTAAACTAGGGAGAAGGGCCTATAGGCCAAATCCTCCATTTATCTGTGGTAAATTAGCAAGGGGATGTATGTGCTACTGCGGTAGATACTAAATCTAAAGACCTAACTAATAATGATGATGATGATCACTGACATTGAATTTCAGTGGGTTGCGTACTGTACAACTCCAGTATTTTGTGATAGAATCGAATATTATTGTGATGACCGCGCGTATTTATAACTAGAATTTGATAAGTATTAGCAGAATGCACAATATAGCATCACATCATCATTTCCACTGTACCTTATGTTGTTGTAATAGATGTTAATATTTTGTAACAGAAATATTTAGTTTGATCTGTTATAGAACTATAGCAAGCTAAGTAGATACTTTCTATCTTATCCATATCTACCATATTGTGTACGTTCTGTGGCTCTACATGCTCTACTTAGTTAAGAACTAAGTAATTTTTGTGATATTTATGCAAACATTGATCAGATCGATCGAATATAATGTAATTGTAAGTTGTCATGTAATTATAGTCAACCAGTTTTATTGTGTAATAACTCGTGTTATAAATAATGCATTCAACTGTTGTAACAAGTTATAGTTATCAATAGTCAATAGTCTTATTCAGTATAATAATATTTGTTTATTCGTAATGCCATATAATATGCCACATAAGGCGAACTTATTGTCAGAAGGAATTCTCTGCCAGTTAACGTTACGAATACGTTCGTACGTAGGTATTATAATTAACAAGAGTAGAAGTGGTCCACCATACAAACAATTATCAAACAGTAAGTCATAAATAAGTTTAATTAAATTACTTACGTAAACAATTTACAGAATAACAATGATATATCATTATCTCCACCTATTTACCGATGTTTGTCAATCAATAAGCCAGTAAATGTGTTGCCAATGCCAAGGCAGTGTTTCTTTATTCATTTAAATCATAAAACGTGTGGTTGACTGTGCCCAAAAATACTACAAAACGGATAAACATAATTAGGTCACTATTAAAACTTTATAATCAACTTAAAATCCACATTTAAAACCTTTTTTTTCTTGCTCTGCATGACCCAAAGGTTGATTAGCGGAGAATGTTCTTAGCATTACGTTTACTATTTGTACACTTTTTTGTATAATTAAATTTTTCAATTATCTACACTAATATTATAAAGAGGAAAACTTTGTTTGTTTGGTTGGTTGTAATGAATAGGCTCAAAAACTACTAGACCGTTTTTAAAAATTATTTCACTATTCGAAAGCTACATTATCCACAAGTAGCATAGGCTAAATTTTATTTTGGAAAAAATAGGGTTCCGTAAAATATGTAGATAATGTAGTCCACGCGCGCGAAGCCGCGGGCGGAAAGCTAGTAAACAATAAAGAAACATGACTGTAAACGCACACATTTCACTGTCGATTTGTTACCGTACAATGATCTATCGGTCCATCATTTAAAACACATTAATCCTACCGTTACAATTAAATAGGATATAATAAAAAATTATCTTAGTATCTTAATAAGAGGTTACTCATCATTTACATACAGATAAGTACTGCAACAGTGAATGGTGAGCGGGACATCGTTCCCCGACACTGCGCAGTCCAGTCGACGCGTGCGCACGATTCGGCCACACCGCGCAAATAGTGACTACTTAATATACATAGTTTATTACTCACGAAGTGTTCCCGCCAATTGTTATCAATGGAAATTGAAATAGGAAATGTGCAAAACAGACTAACCGACCCCACAACTTTTTTGGACATATCCTGTGGGATTTCCAAGCGCACTGGTAATAAAACCTTACAGATTTAATTAAACATTAAACTTAGACATGAAAACAGACCTTGTAATCATCATGAACCAAAATTAATAATGTCACTAACAAAATTTGAGAACACATTAATTATGTGGTTAGAATTAGTCAAATTTATAAAATTGAGATGTTATTAACGTCCGGTCTCTACATTTATCATTGAAATGCTTATCTGTTTTGGGATGACGCTTTTTCAACACTTCAAACGTTATTACGGTCATTGTACTTAATTTGAATGATCTTAACTTGACTAAATATCGAAAAGATTTACAAAGAGTACAAACAAAAAACCTATTGTGTGTTTTGTTTTAAATAATGGTCTCGTATCACGACCCTCGCAATACTCGTATGTACTCGTATTTAAAATTGTATGTGACCACCAATATAAACATACAAAACCGGAATTTCTCAGTAAACAAAGCCCTCCAGTTTACCTACTTGAGCAAATTCATGCAAAGTGACCGAAACTTTGAGAAAACAGTACTTATAAACGTATACTTAAATATTATAAATGCGTAGTTTGAAAATTAATAATATAAACAAAAAGAAGATGCGTGAAAAATATTTACATCCAGTTTTCCTTAAATTCCTATTTTCTTTCATCAATTCTTTATATCTTTTGTATTGATAACCTTTACTTATATGAAAACCTTTACTTATATAAAAACCTTCATTATTGAGTATAAAACAATAATATCAATAAATACTTAGAATAGTTTTTTATTATCTTAGCTGATAAGACGCACTGAGAGGTCGGGGTCAAGGAGGGTCGTGTTGGTGGTCAAATAGAGATTAAAAAATTTAGTAACACATAAAAATAGGGATACTAATTTAGAAATATTATCGCTTTTTGACATTACTCTGTAGTTTCCAAACTTTGTAATCAAAACTTATCTTGACCAAACATAATCGAATTATCTAGACTGAATCGTCTTATTAACCATACAAATATTCAACTCAAAAAAACAAAACTCTTGTTGGATAAGTATAATGACTTCTAGTTCAATAATAATGACGTATTGCATATTTCTACATAGGTAAATACGAGTAACAAGAGAGTTGCAATTTTTTATTTAGAAGATATTATTCTTTGCGTAAATAAAATTTAGGTTATAAACCATTGTGCCTTATAGGGTAAGTCCAGGATAGATGCCCCACTTTTTGAAACAGCTCTGTAACTCAGTCAGTAAGTTTTTATCAACAATTTGACCTTAGTATCTGCAAACTTTGGTCTTTCGTCTATGATATTACTATAATTATTTTAGTTTAATTTATACCGATTCTGAGTTAATACCATTTTAATTGACCTCTAAAAAGTGGGATAGACGCCTAATGTGGGGGATAGAAGACTCACTGTATGATTGCTTCAAAGGATAGATGCCTGATGCAGGGATAGGTGACTCGTTAATACAGTTTTTGAATTCTAAGGATCAAATGCATTTTGAAATCAAACAAGCCAAGTATTATTATTTTAGGATTGTTTGTTATTAAATGAATTAAAAATGAAATTAAATATTTTTTATTAAAAATAGTACATAGTACATCTACCCGAAAAACATAACCCTCCTTCTAGCGCAGTCGGGTAAAAAGGTAATTCGATCAGAATGGCACCCTATTTATTACTTCCTAAGCTTAGCCGTACTACATTCTTTTTTTCTTCTTACTTACTACTTGTGGCAAAAAGAGCAGGTTAGGATAGATGCCCCTAGGTGCATGGGACACGGCCCTAAGGGCATCTATACCCAAAATAAATTAGGCAACTATCCTTTTAGCATAGCATAGGTGCCTTTTTAAATAAAAAATATAATAACACCAAAAATCGAATTAAACATAGCTATCTCGTCTAATTTATAAGATAGTCTATCAAATTATATAAAAATCTGCTTCATTTTACAGCTGACAAAAAAATTATCCATTATAAGATACTTACCAATTTTATTTCGACGCTCGCTAAGGTTTGGCTGCGGAAGATTTTTGCTCTCACTAGCTAAACGAACGCACTCTTTGATGGTTTGCGAGGCGAAAAGTGGTACGGGGAGGTCCCTTTCTATTATACGTACTATAACTTTAGACTAAGTTGCTTGTAACATAGTGTACTTAAAATCGCGGCACCTATCCCACTGGGGCATGTATCCTGGAATTACCCTATCTTTTTCATGCAATAAATAAGAAGCTGACAAAGGTATTTCTTTAAATATTTCAGCACCAGCCGATATGTTGTACTGAAGAGGTGCATTTGGCAAACTATACAGGGTGACTGGAACTGAACCCGCCATAGCTAATACGCGTATAGAGGAGGTCATTTGCTAATTATTGAACCTTACTTTCTATAGTTTAGGAGATATGTCAATTTTTATACTTTTTTCAGATTTTTCTGAAGATCATTGGCAATCCATTATCACCATTAGCTTTTTTTTAAATCGAATTCGAACTTTAATTTTTTATCGTGGTTTGTATTTTTGTTGAACTTTGGCGGCTCGTTCGTGGCTAGTTATTCAATCATCTGGATCTGAAATTTATTTTATTTAACTAAAGGTTTATTCGATATTATTATCAAATAAAAAAATCGGTTAAAATCATGCGAGAAAAAAAATTAAGCAGTCTTTAGGTAAAATTTCGGAAAAATTTGAAAAAAGTATAAAAATTGACATATCTCCTAAACTATAGAAAGTAAGGTTCAATAATTAGCAAATGACCTCCTCTATACGCGTATTAGCTATGGCGGGTTCAGTGCCAGTCACCCTGTATTTGGAACGTGTAATGTGCCCTGAAAAAGGCCTTTATATCTTTATTGCATTCCATGTTATTCCAATAATAATAATCACATCATCATCATAATAGTTACTTATATGTAAGTATTTAGAATATGAGTTTGAATTTGATAATGTAAGTAATGATATCTTTACATATACCTTGTCCCCAGGTATATCTTGGAAGTGGAAAAAGCGGGAATCATGCAAGAACGAGTACATTATATTGAACGAAGCCTGTGGAGCCATCAGGCCAGGGCGCCTCACGTACATCCTGGGCCCGTCGGGCGCCGGCAAGACCACGCTCATGAAAATACTGGCGGGACGAAAGTAAGTTGACAATTCTCTACCTTCTAAAATCTTCAACCACCATCATCTACATCATCGGGTCATTTAGTCTCCAGTGCAGGAGGACGTAGGTACCTACTTCTCATTTACTAGACGCATAAGTGAGGCTTTGTTCCACACTCACTCACCTTTGAAATTAAATACAGTCAGGTTTTTATTCAATTTTGGACAAGATTTGGCAACTACGTGAATGTTTAGCAAGAAATTAAAGATGGTAGCCAATTTACATGCCTCCTTGTATTTTGGACCCTATCGTCAACCTTCATTAGGAATTGTCTATATTTAGATTACTTATATGCAGCATCCATGCGATGTATGCGTAGATCTTTAAGCTCAAGGTGATCGCCCTGACCTTAATTTACCTGGATAATAAATCAAAGGCTTAAGTTACGTTTAAACTAAAGTTATGCGTTTATTCGCGATGCAAGCAAAACCTCGTGCATCATATACTTATGTACTTGGCTGCTTTTAATAGATGACCACTATTTTTAAACCTTTCTTGAGGAATTCCCATGTGTAAACAATACTACACTTGAATTAATTTATCTTCACGATACTAATCTTGGAGCTTAATTTTAGTAGACTCTTATTACACAGCTCTGTTGGAAAAGCCCATAACTTAGGTCAAGCTTAGGTCACTGTAGCTACATAGAAATTAAACGAGTTATGTTTGAAGGATTTGAGGAAAGAATATTTTTCTTATTAGACATGTCAAGCTCAAATACATTTGTTTTACACCTCTTGCTGACACAATGTGAATGGTTAGCAAATCTCGCACATCGTTGATTCAAACGCATCTTTATGAGGATGTAATTAATACCGACCCTTCAATAACATGCATAAAACATCAAGTAAACTTTGTATCATCATACTACGTTAGATTAGTTGTCTTTTAATGTTTCTTTATTTATTACTAGCTTTCCGCCCGCGGCGCGGCTTCGCCCGCGTGGAATTTTGTCTGTCACAGAAAAACAATATCGCGCGCGTATTTGCTCACCGTTTAGACCTACCCTGGACTACGACAAACATTTTAAAACCAAAATCAGCTCAATCGGCCCAGCCGTTCTCGAGTTTTAATCAGACTAACGAACATCAATTCATTTTTATTTATATAGAAGATAGATAGATAAATAATTATAAGATGATTTATTAGAAAAACTTTATTAACTTTGTCCGTTATCTTTGTAACAAGAATCGTTCGTTCGTTCGTTTCAGCCGAAAGACATCCACTGCTGGACAAAGGCCTCCCTCAAGGATTTCCACAAAGACCGGTCCTGCGCCGCTCGCATCCAGGCACCTCCCGCGACCTTCACAAGATCGTCGGTCCACCTAGTGGGACTACCCACGCTACGTCTTCCGGCTCGTGGTTGCCACTCAAGAACTTTCCTGCCCCAGTGGCCATCTGTAACAAGAATATCTACAAATAAGTATCTAAACTTCTTCCAGGAAGGTGGGAGTCAAAGGTGCCATGTACGGTGCTGGACGGAACGCAGTGATGGTCAGCCAACACGCCACCCTCATAGACACTTTGACAGCCGGGGAAACACTGCAGTTCGCTGCTAGGCTCAAACTACCCAACGTCAAACCCTGGGATCGGACACAACTGGTAAGCTAGATAAATTAACGAGATAAAAATGATCCTATCAAGAAACTCCCTCTTAAGTTTGTATTACAGAAAACAAGCTCGACTCTATCTTTATCATAGATTCAGTAACAGATACCTAGGATTGGTTGAACTTCAAAGGCAAATAGGTTTAAACGTTGCTTTAATCCTTCAAGGCCTGCGAATCTATACACAATAGATAATCAATTGTTATGGCATTAATGTATGCCGTCTGGGACTTTAAAGGTTAAGAGACCCTAAATACGACCTATCGCTTGCTTCACAGAGGATAAGTGAAAAGATAAATTAAAGTCTTTAAAGATCAGTGGTAACAGTCGCTCAGCGACCAACGTTGATGGGTTCGGGTCTTAGGTGGACGATTTTTACATTGTGACTAATTGTGTACCAAATGAGTATTTTTAGTAATGACTTTCTTAGTAGCATATATACAAATAATTAAAACTTATTTTGTCAACAACTTCTACGATAATAATGCTACTAAGCCAATGTATTTACTTAACGTTTTCCTTCCTTTGTTAAACAAACACTTGTACCTACTTCTATAAACAAGACCTTATTATTGACTTGTGTTTAGTGTCGTCGTTTCCTGTAATATACAACTACATTATATTTTCAACATACACAATTACTGAGGTTAAAACCAAAAACAACTTGAAAGGCGATAATGCAGAATACTTAAACGCAGTGGCAGGGCAAGACCTAAATTTGATGTGGGCAAGACAGATTTCGCGAGGCCTTGTTCTGTGGCGACCTGAAGACGGATTTTATAAAAAAAAAACGGGTCAACGGTCTATTCATTGACAGTTTCTGATTTCTTGATTCAGTGATTATTTTTAAAGGAATATTGCGCCAAAGAATAATGTTCGTCACTTAAAACCGTGTTGTTGCTTTATTTTGTGTCTGATTATGGCTGAATTTGTTTGGAAAAAAATATATTTTTTTAACTACATTGTTTAGCTATCAAGAATTTATATTTAATAGTCAATGTTTGCATTTATTGTCGTATTGTGATATTGTCATCTCCACCTTGTATACATTTTTTCAAAATTTTTGATGCGCGAGGCCCCTTGTTCCGCGAGGCCGTAGGCGGTGGCCCACGTTGCCTACGCCTAACGCCGCCACTGCTTAAACGTAAAGCGCAAAATTATATGACCCTATGTCTAAACCATTATCATTGACACAATGCATCATTTGCACTCCACCAATCATGTTCTGCCTTAACAATAGGTTGTTTTACATAGCCTTATGTCTGCAGATCGCGAATATATCGAAACAGCTGGGAATCCTTGACATCCACACGACCAGGGCAGGCCACCTGTCTGGCGGGGAGCGGAAGAGGCTGACCATCGCCTGCGAACTCCTCGTGGACCCGACAGTCATGCTGCTAGACGAACCCACTAGGTAAAGGAAAAATCATAAACTTCGTCATAAATAACACTCGAACTTAAGATTTTAAATAGCCTACAATGGTTATGGTTCCTACCATAAAATGTTTCCGATTCACTCACAAATTGGCTATTTTTTTAAACATAGAAGTAAATTTATTTCAGTTTTGTTGTTCCTTATAAATGCTTAGATATTTTTGGTAAAATTTTTTTTTTTTTTTTAATTAAATAAAATTAATTAAATAAAATAAAAATTAAATTGTCATTGAATACTTAAATGAATGATTTTCGAAATGGCCTACTTAAAATGCGCAATCAAACGTTTTTAAAGGTCGTTTTAACATTGAAACGGGTCTGACGCAGAATGCGGACTTCGCAAAAATAACCCTCGAGACACCCAATTTTTAACTCTTAACATTCAAAGTGTTAATCAGAAAGCGACTAAACTCCAACCTTTACAGTGGGCTAGACTCAGTATCGTCCATGTCGGTGGCGCGTGCGCTGCTGACGGTGGCTCGCAGCGGGCGCACAGTGGCGTGCGTGATCCACCAGCCGTCCTCGCAGCTGTTCAACTGCGCCGATGACGTCATCCTGCTGTCCGGAGGCAGGACTCTGTACTCGGGGGCGCTGGCTGACATCCCTGATGCGCTGTCGAAAGCAGGGTTCCAGTGCCCACAGTATTACAATATGGCTGATTACAGTAAGACGTTCAAATACTTTTGTACTTTATTACACAGTATTCCATATGCATTTCCTACCTACCTTCTATTGTACTACTACTATTTGTAGGCTACCTACATGACATTATTGAAAAAAAAACTCATTTTTTACAAAACTAAATTGAGAACCCTCCCTTTTCATTAAACAAGAAAGAAAATTGTGATATGGTCTAACATCGAATCTGAAAACATGAAACAGCACTATTTACGCGACTTTATCGCTAGGAAGCGATTTCTTCCAGACATATTAAATGATAAATGGGGAAAGTAGCACTTCAAGTTGATGTTATATCAACTCGCACATGCATTTAACCAATGCTCTCGCAAATATTTTCAGTGCTGGAAATAGCGACAGAGGAGCACTCTGGCAACCTCGCCCTTTTGGAAGCTGAAGCGAAGAGTTATGCTCACGAGATGAGGAGGATTGCTAAGAGCGACGTCCACGAGGAAAACCTAAAAGGTAACCAAAACAGTTGATGCATCTTTGTAGAGTCAAAGTAAAGTCAAAGTCAAACGTGCCCGGAATTATTGTTCGTAAATGATGATGTTTGTATTCCGATTGTTTACAATAACACAATGAGTTTGCAAAACGTCATTTTGATGCAATCACTGTCGATGCGACTCGAATTTAAGTTATACTTTGGTAGGTACGTAAGACACGGGCTTATTTTATGTTAATTATCCCTAAATAACCAAGTAGTAAGAACTAAGGTTGAGATTACACTAGTACTGTAAACAATATGAACTAATAACACTCACAAACCACATCCATATTCCCAGTCATGTCTTCTATAAATTATAGAAATCACAGTAGCATACTAGTATTATAATAACTGTGGTAGCACATTGAGTAACACCATATCATAGCACGTCTACTTTATCTAAGGGTAATTTATGAATTGTGTATTCCAGGTGTTGTTGTGGAAACTGAGGCTCTATTAAATACGCGACAGCCCCTGACGGAGGGCTACCTGGCGAATGTGCCCCAACAGCTGGGGGCTCTGCTGTGGCGCTGCTGGATTGGGGCCATGAGGGATGTTCACTTGACACAGGTACTTAACAACAGAAAATAACGCCTCAGTGATCATACAACCCGTGAAAACCCCGTGGTAGATCACCAATGAGATGGACGGACCAGATCAAGGCCGCAACTAAGTATTCGGTTAACGAAAGTGCCCGGAAAGCTGCAGTCCGCGAGGAATGGCGCCGTATTGCGTGGAACATCACTCATCGTGATTCACAATGATGACCACGACCACTCTGACAAGAGTGCACCGACTGAGAAGAAGAAGATCAAACAACACTGTCCCTTATTGTCCCGAAGCAATGGTTAAAGTTATGCTGGGACGTCTATCAGCGCTCGTTCATTCAGCCAAAATACGTTCACTGCTGGCCAAAGGCCTCCCCCAAGAATTTTTACTACGACCGATCCTGCGCTGCCCGTCATACACCTGAGCCTCTAGCGACCCCTGCTAGATCGAAGATCCACTGAGTGGTAGACCAGCCTTCAGTACGTCTAATCTTCGTTTCATGGTGACGATTGAATGAGACACTACCCTAACGGCCATCAGTTTCACAGCAGTAAAAGCGCTTTATAAACTGTAAAACTTTGTTTTTCTTAATATCAAAAGATTCAAGAGTAGAATATACAGAATACTCAACAGTACTCTCTTTAAATTGTTGCAGATCCCATCCATCCCACCAACAGGTACCCACTGAAAACCAGTGTACATGATACTGAGTGGGTGACCTTTTTTGGCAATTTTGTTTCATAGTTTTATGTGTAGGTACCTATGTCTTTTTTTGCATGACTTTGTTGCCAAAATAAAATTATTTTCTTTCTTTCTTCAGATCCGTCTAGCAGCACACTTGCTGGTAGCTCTGCTACTGGGCGCGCTCTACAACGGCGCGGGCGCAGACGCCGGCCGCGTCATATCCAACACCGGCTGCCTCTTCTTCTTTCTGCTCTTTATATTCTTTTCAAATGCAATGCCTCCCATACATACATGTGAGTTTCAGTATTTGTAACTGGCGCACAAACTAATTTTAATTTATACAATATGGAAACGCGATATAGTATTTTTGCTTAGCTACTAGTATTATAGGTATTCTCATTTAGTTATACAATGTAAAGTCAAGACTTTAGCAAAGAAGTTTCCATGACCTATGACTTACTGGGGAGATATGAGGTTTCCTAAAACTAATAACTATTACCCAGATTTAATTCTAATCTAGTCAGTTATCCAAACTTCAACAAAAACAAAACAAATAATAATGTTTGTGCTATGAATATTTTGAAATATCACACCTGTAGCGCGTAGCTCACTTGCCGTAGACCGTAGACACCGACTACGACCACACTACGACTACTACGAAAATGACTACGACTCGTAGATGTATTGTCTAGCTCAGTGTTTTTCAACCTGTGGGTCGCGACCCCCTGGGGGGTCGCCAAGCCTCTGTAGGGGGGTCGCGAGAGGTCGTAAAAACTGCCTCAGTAAAAGAATCAGTAAAGTTATAATGATAGAGTTATCCGAAATTTAATTATCCAAATCCATCCAAATGTTGTATGCATTGAAATATTTGGTCCCTACAACATCTTTGTAACATTATAAAATGCATGAAAAAAAAAGCGAGCGGTCGGGGGGGGTCGCGAAATATTTTTTTCATACCAAGGGGGTCGCGTCATGAAAAAGGTTGAAAAACACTGGTCTAGCTTAATTAAAAATGTTAATTATAAGTGAATATTATGTTATTACATCTCTGGTAAAATAAGTTATATAAATTAAGCATAGAAGCCCTTTATATTTTAGTTACATAAACTATTGTTACAATGCACAGTGTGTTATGGGACTGTATAAACGGACATTCTCATTGATTTGATGAAACGTATAGAGCTCAGTTATACAAACATGATAGTAAAACTCCCGTTCGAAAATTCCACGTAGTTTTCGCTGTATAAAAATTCAAAGTTACCTATTTTTTTACTTCAAAATTATGCAAAAATATTCTCACTCGTTAACTAATAACATTTAATTCAGAATTGTTATAATACTTCATAGAGCTCTTAAAACTACACGTAATAAGCGTATTAAGTGCTTCGTAAACGCATTCAGTTAATTAGGAAAAATGATTTTAGTGATTTTTGTTTTTATTTTTTTTCTCAATTATACCTTAATATATGCAAACATTTTTAATTGCAAGATATAGTCTGATATTTAATCTAATTGTATTAATAAAATCAGCTATAAACTCCGTGATATATTTGAGAAAAAACATAAAACGTCTTAATAAAATTTTTACGAGTCTAGAGTCGACAATTTTATTTTGGAAGGAATAATTCTATTATCGGAATATTGTCTAAAAAGTTTCAAATCCCGCCTGTTATGTGCATAGTGTTGAAGGTTCTAAAAAGTCACATTCACATTGTTTTTAACCGACTTCAAAAAAAGGAGGAGGTTCTCAAGTCGAGTCTTTTTTCTTTTTTAACACTCTTATATTAACTTAAGTTGTATGTAAGTAACTAACTAAAAAAGTATGTAAACAAATCTAGGAAGTCGAATTTATCCTACCTTTAATAATTTTCTCATCGATTTGAAACCTATGTAAATCGAATGTCAATACAATAATTTGGTACAATCGAGCTGATGATATTTAAACATCCAAAAGAAATATTGCTATTAAAAAGTGATGGGAAATTTACAATTCTACATGGCGCATATTTTCAATTTGATTTTCCTCAAATATATCACGGAATTTAAAGCTGATTTTTTTATACAAGTAGATTAAATATCAGACTATATCTTGCAATTAAAAATGTTTGCATATATTAAGGTATAATTGAGAAAAAAAATAAAAACAAAAATCACTAAAATCATTTTTCCCAATTAACTGAATGCGTTTACGAAGCACTTAATACGCTTATTACGTGTAGTTTTAAGAGCTCTATGAAGTATTATAACAATTCTGAATTAAATGTTATTAGTTAACGAGTGAGAATATTTTTCCATAATTTAGAAGTAAAAAAATAGGTAACTTTGAATTTCTATACCGCGAAAACTACTTGGAATTTTCAAACGGGAGTTTTACTATCATGTTTGTATAACTGAGCTCTATACGGTTCATCAAATAAATGAGAATGTCCGATTATACAGTCTCATAACATACTGTGCAATGCCACAATGATTACCGTAATCTACCTATTGCTGTGATATCTTATTTGTTATCTGTTTTCAGTTCCTGTGGAAGCCTCAGTGGTACTACAAGAGCACTTGAATAAGTGGTACTCGCTGCCCGCGTACTGCGCCTCGAAGATTCTCGTGGACCTACCGATTCAAGTAACTATGTATTTCTATGATTTATCAATCGAAACATTTTACTACCCTAGGTGGGACCCGCGACCTTTATCTTGCCGGGTGACTACTCCTCACTGATATTATTACGAGATTGTATGCTCCATAAATATTTAGTCTATTTTTCCTCAGATGTCCTGAACAAAAAACGATTTGAGTAGATTGGGTAGGGCTAGTAAAACCCACCATAACGCCTACCATTCAATTTTGTCCCCAGTTGCTATGTGCCACAGTGTTCATGTTCCCGGCGTGGTACCTGACGTCGCAGCCGCTGGACGCCCACCGCATGGGGCTAGCCTGGCTGCTGTGCGCGCTGCTCACGATCCTCGCGCAGACCTTCGGCCTGGTGGTGGGCGCGGCGTGTGACGTCAAGGTAACTTATTGGATTATAATAATTGTGTCCAGTCCCCTATTTGTACCTACCTATTATGGGTTCCAGGCAATGGATATAGACATACTATTTTTTAATACCTACATACTTTACATAGAAAACACCAAGAATGTTTTTTTTATACATACAAAAATGTTTTCATGGTGCGGTTATTGAACTTGTAACTCTGATTCTGACTAAAATCGTAGTTATCTGTTAAGCGAACCACCAGGCCAAGTCACCAAGTGGACTTCAATTTATTTGAAACCGCTATGGCTTACTCAAACCTTAAAATTTTGAATTTTACTCGTAGTAGCTAGCGTTCTACGAAATTCTATTCAGCTTAATATAATATCTCCCTTACGTACTCCCAACTTTTTGTTTGAGAGCAATAATTAACACGCACGAGAACCAAAGAGAAAATGAAATTGTATTCACTTGCTTTATGACCTCATTTTTTCATTCCAGCTCGGCCTATTCGTGATTCCCGCCGCAAATATCCCAATGCTGATGTTCTCCGAGTTTTTCATACCTTACCGGGAGATACCAGTCTACCTCCGGCCGTTTGCTGCCATTTCCTACTTCAGATACGCATTCGACGCCTTCCTAGAGACAGTCTACGGGTTCGACAGGGGTCGCTTGCCGTGCCACGACGAGATATTCTGCCTGTTCGCAGACCCCACCAAATACCTAAAGCATTTAGGCCTTACCAGAAACCTGTACAGTGACTTCTCAGCCTTAGTGATATGGATTGTGATACTCCAAATATCTCTGATCTGCATCCTAAAGTACAGAGTGCATAGAGCGTGCAGATGATGTTAACGCAAAACGCTCTATAGGATCTGATTGTAAATAAAATAGTAGCTACACCGTCATGTGGATTTTATCTATGACAGGTTCGACTGTAAATAAAATTTCGGCGTGTAAATGATCTACTAACAATAAATAATATAAGTTTTACACCTTATACCTCCACTAACATGTTATAATCTATCTGGTCCTAGGTTTATAAGTCGTGTAAATAATTATACATTATTGTACCTATGATAAAAAGAAGCTAAAACATGGCATAGGTAATCTAATCATGACATATTAAAGTACTTATCAAAATAACTAAATAAGTAAATAAAAAGGGAAAGAGTAACATTCTCAAAAACTCTCTAATTAGGTACTAAATTAATATTATTAATTAAAAAACAATATTACAACAATTAGTATTTTATTGACCAGCTTCACATTCCATAGAGTGTTACACGAATATACGTTATTATTATTATAATAACTTTTAAAATGTACATAATGATAGCAATAATTGTACAACATCGAATTACAATTTGTGCATAATACAGCAAATAAATATGCAACTATATTACATAGGCGTTTCATTTACGACATAAGTAACAGAAAAAGATATGTATAGACATGATCATTCATTATGAATATTTAATGCTAAACACCGACTAATTAACATTAGGTATATTCGCAAAAGTTAAAAAAAACTTTAAGACTTCGATTGCGGATTGATACTCGAATTTAAATAATTTTGTTTTAACATCTCAATAGTAAGCCTAATGTGACATATTTAATTTTGCAAGAACAGGACCATAATATTAATCTTAAACTTTTCAAGTTAGATGTCGACTCTATGATAGTGAGAAATTAGGGTTTTCCATGCCTTAATATTATGTTTTCTGTAGGCATATTGATCATAGAAAACGTCAAAAAATGTCTTATATTATCATCATCAGTCATAATTTAAAAACGACGTTAATACGCAATTTGCAAGCATCCATTACATATTTTTCAGCACTTTAAATTAATTCATGAAAATTGCGTAATATGGCCTAAAAGCCTATCATATGAGGATACAAGAATTAACAAAATAGAAGCAATTCGCATTAGAATTTTCTAATTTGTCATTCGTACAAAAATATACTCTGGCGATCTCAGTCATAGCCTTATCATTCTAACCATCGAAGTAATAATAGATATAGAAGTACTGGTAGGAACTACGACGTTAAAAGTTCATACGTGCCAAAAATATTGGTCAAAACTGAATAAATTATTATATTTCATTGCATTTCTAATAAAAATATTACGATGAGGGTCTGTTTCTTTCGATATAGTGGTTAGGCAAAGCAATGTTTACTGTTTTCTTTCTGAGTCAAGCACTCAGAAGCTCAGATCATTTCAAGGGAAAACTTTTTCAAATATTCGTTTTTTAATTCCAGAAAATCTTCTACATCTATTATTATTTCCATGTCACTTACTAATCTTTGCCAACGCAAACAAAATTATCGAGTAGGTGCAACAAAGGGTGTCGTCTATTTGTTCATAAATTCATTTATCAAATTATTAAATCCAACGTCAGTAATAGGCCTCCGATCGTATGTTATTGGTACCTAAACACTAAGGTTCAAATCAAATACCTTTCAGCAATGCATGGGGCAAACAAAAATCTTTTTATATCACCTAGTTTATTATAAGCAGTAAATAGTAAAGCACAATATCGTCTGTATTCCATCAAGTAAGCTCTGAGATAAATTCAATAATTGACTATACATTGATTTAGTTCCACTCCATATTTTGACCTATCAATTAATTACACAAATTATTTTAGGTTTGTTTGCTATAAGCAACATCGAAACTTCTATCAAATACTGGTAGGTATTGACTAGACAGCAAAAAAGCAATCGTTGAAAATACACATCTATATGTTTAATAATTATAACACATTAACATAATTATACAGTTCTCTATGTTATATTACAACAGCTACAAAGGCGCTGCATAATATTTACGACGTGTAACTGACGACTATGTTCTGTTATACATATTTAACAAAAAAAAAGTTTGCAGGGACTTAAAAATTTAAAATGGTTTTATTTTTTGTCTAAACATACCTCGATTGATTAATTAAATGATATTATGGATAAGTTTTATGTTTACGGACATTGGTGATAGTATAATATACTATGTATTATTACATATTAACAAAGTCTAAAATAACATAACACTAAAATTTTGAGTAGGTATAACTATTTTCATATTTTGTGGAAATGTAGTCACAGCACAGCCATATTAAAAACTCTTCAAAACAACTACTATTTGGTCTTTTTTAAATATTCGATACTATTTTCATTCATTATATTATTACTTAATTGATGAGTAACTCTCAGTGTAAAAATTCGGCAGTCTAATAAAAATCACTTAGCAATTTTAGAAAAAAGAACTAATATCAGAAAATCTAAGTACAATAACCGTTTATTCTCAAATTATTGCTCATTTTGCAATTATTTCAGGTCTACTACTCGTAAAGGTAAAATATAAAGATTACTGTAAAAATACATAAGTGAATTAATGCAAAGTACCTACTTGTTTAGAGTTAGACAACCATCAAATTTTCTTGTTGAGATAATACTGATCACAACAACTATTATGACATAAATACATAAGCAAAATACACACAACTCCTTTTCAACTCTAATGATAGATGTACATAACATTAATAAACCTAACAATAAACAATAAATCATGTAAGATAATATATTAATACTTTGCGTACATACATATTTATGCCATTTCTATAACACATCATTGAGAACTAAAAACAATTTCGATTGTGCAATAATTGCAGTATACAATTAAGCAAACAGAAACCTCATAATAATTCTGTTAAATAATTAAGCACATGGAATGTACCATAATAATTATGTTGTCTTTGGTGCCAATAAATACATACTTACCTACAGTTACATCATCATAAATATTATTTACATTACATTATGTAAACAGTACTGTATTCAACTTATACTGTGTCTCTTAGAAATGACTGAGAATCCTAAACATCACCATTCATTCTCAACTTTTCAGCTACTATGAAGGTAAATCATTCAGATTTGATAGTTTCCTGAAACAGAAAAAGAATAAAATAACTATTAGTTCTTTCAATTCATGCAGAAATAAGAATTGATATTTAATGGAAGTTAATAAAATTGTTTTCAAAAAAATCTTTGACAGTTACCTGCAATATTCTGGAGGCAATGTCCAAACTTTATACCACAGCAATATGCTGAGGAATATACTCCACGTCCTGAGAGGTCCAAACACGAAAGCCATTGTCCCATACTCCAGCCAGAAGAAATAAGCCAGCAAAAATTGTATAGACAGCAAAAAGACAAAAGGTAAATTCTTTATCAACCTTTTTATTCCCCTTACGGTTGGACTAAACAGTCGAGTCTCCAAGCAGTATGCCAACACGAAGACAAGTGGTAGCTGCACAAACATCAACTGTACACTTCCATACATATACGTGAACGGTTCAGGTAAGAAAGCTCCTTTTATGATTATACCCCAAGCAAAAATTACGCCCACATATCCATCAATCAGTTCACCAATTGCCCAGGGTCCAAATGGCGTGTATAATGTATACAATACAATTGGATAAAATATTCTGTCGATTTTGCTCAGTAACCACACTCTTCGAAGTACATGACTACCGAACTTTCGTCGGTATCTGGGTGGCCTTTTTTGTAATCGTAGAACAAGTAGAGGAATTACATTAACCAATAATAGAGTTGCAAATATTGTCTGAAACTGTAAAAAAATATATTAAAATATATGTCACATTCTTAAAGGAAACTTAAGTGGACAAACAATCACATTTAACTTACTACAGCACCAGCATCAAGCATAAGTAGAATCCGTGGTGTTACTTCAAAGTTCACCAAAGACCCATCCAAAGAAAATGGATGTTCCAGTACAACTTCTTTCCCCACTTCATCAGTCACTGTCACATACAAATAATGTAGCCCAATACTGAACAAGTGTGGCAGCCATTGGCACACATAGAGCGGTGCTTTAGCAACTTTACATTTCATCCAACTCTCTTTGTCAAAGGAAATCTTTACAGTTTCGATTTCCACATCGCTAAAAGCTAATATTCGAATATGTGTTGACTCTAATATCAACTGTAATGGTTCACGACCAGCCATAGCATAACGTGCATGCTTCGGATTTGTGACTAAAACTAAAGGCCAAGTATTGTGTTTTTGGTCCACAAATGAGAAAATGCCATGATCAATTGCGGCTAATCGAAACATCCTGTTGTCTTTCCAATCACCCAATTCTAGCTCCAAGTAGCCTCTTCTTTGTTTAGTATACATTCTTGGGACTAGACCTCCCATAGCATGTAAATGGCCGCATACATAGACCTGTGAGGCTTGGGTACTGCCCATAAGCTCTCTTAGGTTTAATCTTTGGTTTTCATGTTTAAGTGATAATATACATGATGTTGGATAGTGTCCAAACCAAATTATATGGTCTGATTTAGCTTCAGCCTCCGTTTTTAATTTCTGTAATTTTTGTTGTTCTTCAGCATCTAAGATGCCAATGAAGTTAAACGGCCTCCTCAATCCAGGTTCCGGACAGGCATCTATGCCTAAGAAGGCTACATTAACTCCATTTCTGTGTTCATAATGCACATAGGATTTAGCATGAGTAGACCCTTGTACTGAATAATTTCTAAAATAGTTCTCTTGAGAATTTATAGTCTTGATGTTAAAATTATCTGCAATAAAAAAGTCCAGTGAAAATATGTTTATGTTGCATCATAAAAATGTACTTGTCTCATTAACTTATTTACTGAAGATAAATACAAATGTATATTATCATTTTATACTAATTAGCATCATAAAGTTACATTTACAACAACAATTAATGAAGTTAAGCTATTTTGTAGTTTTATGACTATTTGGTTTGATTAAATGTTGAAAAATGTAATTAATTACCATGATTTCCTCTGATATCCAACCACACTGTTTCATCAGTGACACCCGATTCTTTGATAATATTGTGGTAGTATATCCACTCTTTCTTAACTTGAGAGCTGCCCAAATTGTCTTTGGCTTTTGCGTCGGTCAAATCTCCTGTGGCCAGGACTAACATGGGTTTGATCCTTCTAACTGTGCTGTCGCAGAATTGTTGGAACTGCGATATTCTCCCTGGATCCCGGAATATACTTATATGAATATCAGAAATCTGTGAATCAATAATAGACAAGTCACATAAGATAGGCAATATCATACAACTATTACTCAGTTTGTAAAACTTCAATAGTACTTCTGATAACATATCTGACGTAGCAACCAACCAAACAAAGGGACAATGATCTTTGTTCTACCAATCACTACACAATTTGTTATAAATTAAGTACTCACCTGCAAGAACCAAATAATATTATTGTTGGAGTCGCCTATCTGCCCGAACTTATTACTTAAGTATTTCGTATGATTGATTCCCTCATTTTTGTTTTCAATGTAAAAATTATGATCCGTAGCGATTATGTTCAATAAATTGGCCATAAAAATGGACAATAATAACAATAAACACAGTAGAGAAATAGTAGCCTTAGATAAGATCATTTTGTAACTAACTAAACCATTTAATAGCACAATAAAAATTAATTCAGTCTAGATAAAACTGTAATTTAATTTATCCAAAATTCTAAATCGCAAGACTAAAAAACCAAAACTTCGGCATTCGGCTTAGCACTTCTGTCAAATCACTATTATCACTGTCAGTCAAGTGTCAATGTCATGGGTTTTATTTGAAAATAGTGTGGTGTGTAACTCGATTTATCATTACGGAGTCGATTGTAAAATTATGTAGATTCATTTTGATTTCTTATTTTCACCATAATGCACTAGCATCGTTTATGCTACTCAAAATATCAATTTGATTATAAAATACTTCTTAGGACTGATTTTTCAATCATCACTTAACTTTTAACTGAAGAATAAACTTGTCATTTTGACATATTTCCCATACTGAAACTGTCAATATGCCAAACTTATTCTTCAGTTAAAAGTTATCCAACGATTGTAAAATCAGCCCTTAGATGTATTTGAATATACTAACAACAGCGCATTTTTTTTTAATTTTTTATTATCCACAACGAGGAAGCTCTTGGCCTGTATCTCACCTGATGGTAAGTGACGATCAGGCCGAAGGTGGAAGCGAGCTTCACCCGGAATCCTCAACTACGGAGGAACTGGCTATCTTACCTCTAACTGCCGGAACACAACAATGCTGTTAACATTGTTGTTATGGCGACAGACTTATGTAAGATGGTGGTAGCTAGCCAGGCGGACTTAGAACAAGCCCTACCACCAACCAAACGGAACAGAAAAATCTGCTCCCACTGGGAATCGAACCTGGGACCTCTGCATCTGAAGCAGGTGGTCTTACCACTAGACCACAGAGGCGGTTGGCATCAGAATACCCTTTTGATTCAAAGTGAAAACTAGCTGCATTCGGCTGAAACGTGTAGCTTTTATTGTTATTTAAACAGCGAGTATTAATTTTGAAATAATATCGAGGTATTAACATTTTTTTAGTATGAAACAGTCATTTTTAAACATATTGGATACTAGCGGCCGCCCGCGACTTTATACGCGTGGACCACGTTTTACCCCCGTTAGATATCATGTTGATAGATGGCGTTTCACGGCATGAATATTTACGAACGTCAAAAACAGTATATATGTATATAGTTTGTCCAGCGCTGTAGATTTTAACCAATGACAATAGAATGCGCTTTTTCGACACGTCTTATTTATTTATTTAAATGTATTTGTCACATATCGTCATAAATTATAGCCTATTATGTTAATCTGGGTTATAAACAATAATACTGTAAAGTTTCAACAAAATCCGTTCAATAGTTTTTGCGTGAAAGAGTAACAAACATTTCGCCTTTATAATATTAGTAGGAAGTAGGACAATATCATTTTTAACATTTACTCTTTCCATTGTTTTAACTGTCATTTTAGTTTTGCTGAATTAAAACTTCAGACCATCAGAAAACTATCGATTTATCGATTAGTCGTTCGGAATATCCTAACACCTAACACACATCACTGACAAAAAAATGCTGCAAGTTGTAAAAATGTTACCATTTATTGCCATGATAGAATTTTCTTCCTCACTAGCAGGTTGAGGTTTCATGGTTTCATCAGGGTTTCATCTTGGTTTCATTCAAACTGTCAGCTATTCAAATTGGAGAATTTATTTTAATACTCCAACAAAGTCACCTACATTTTTAACATGGATAACACGTGGTTAACGATACCTTAGTAGTAGTCTAGGGGGGCAGTACCTACATTTATGTTTAATTGATCATGCATGCCCATTATCCAAGTTTACATTTTATTTAAAACTAGCTGACCCGGCGAACTTTGTTCCGCCTTAATGGCAATAAATAAGCAGACTTTTTTTATTTCGAACGGGATAAAAAGTATCCTATGTCCTTCTCAGCTAAATCGGTTCAGCCGTTCTTGAGTTATAAGTGGAGTAACTAACACGAGACTTTCTTTTATATATATAGATATACTACTTATACTATGTAGGGTAAGGTGGGGCACAATGTTACACGGGGTACAATGTTACAATGCATATTTCTCCGTCCCTTTCTATTAGTTGTATGATGTTCAGCGGCTCAGTTCAGCAGCTCTTATGAGCTTGACAAACGTGTATACCAACATCATACAACTAATAGAAAGGGACGGAGAAATATGCATTGTAACATTGTACCCCGTGTAACATTGTGCCCCACCTTACCCTACTTATAGCATAAATAAATAAAATAAATCCCGCAATGATTGGTTTGCTCACTGATCTCAAACAGTGCGCGGTAACATTGTTCGTTCATTGAACAATTTTCAAATCAATCTATACCACACCACATAAGTACCACACCAACCCTAAAAAGCTTTGTGTAATAACAATGACAACTAATAAAATAGGAATAGGTACTTAAGTAGGTACGCTAAAATGTTTGTGCTTATCGTGCTCATCCCCGGGAATCGAACCCGCAAATGGCTGGGCCCTTATTAATAAAGTCAGAGGCTAGCCGTCTTTTAGCGTTAATACCGAGTCGAGATCCCCGGTCTCATGAGTCTCTAGTCTACTCACTTATCAGTCGCATTAAAACTGCCATCATCGTTCCATTCATTCCTGCTGCCCATTTCTTTTGAATCCTTAATATCAATAATGATCATACTCTTATGAACCGAACGTGAGCAGCTACCATTGTCACCAATCGCCAGGACATGTTGTGGTAAGGAGATAGGAGAACTATCGCATTTCTCATCCACCAGAATATGGTTGTAATTTTTTAACTCTATCAATCTGAATGCGACTCTATCACCAATGCTCCATTATCGATCGAAGACGTAGATCTTACCTATGGCTATGGACTCTACTATTTTAGGTAGGTACCTACTCCTTTTCAAACTTCCATCAGCTTCAGACTTGGCAAGATTTTCGGAAACTTCGTAGTCTAAGCGGTATTCTTATTTTAGGTACCTACGACGAGCTTTAGTAAAAAAACATACCAGAACCAAAGTACAGCTACTTTCCAGCATGTTATCATTTTGCAGTTGTTAAGCTTAGTTAGATAAAATAATCACTGTTTTTGCTACTTTCGTTACCTATTGAAAAAGATCTAGTAACTTGAAAATATAGGTACAAATTATTTGCGAAACAAACGTTACACGTGGAATATCGTGTATCCGCTCATCTAAAGCTGCTCTACCAGCTCGAGTAATTAACGAATGACGCAAATAGTAAGTTATTTGTCTCAGTCAAAGGTGATGATAGTCATGGTAATTATTATGAGCTATGAACCGCTATGTCACCTCAACTCGGTATGCACCGTGTCGCGTTTAGATACTAAATTATCTCACATCTTATTTATTTCTTGTTTTATGAAACAGGTTCTATGGAAAGGAATCTACCTTAATATGTCATTAAAATATTCATTAGTAATAAAAGGTGGAATCATCTTTAAAAATCATTTATTTAAAACCTAGATAAATTACGGCGGCTAATGCGTTTATGTCTTTTCTTGCAAGATTGAATCGGGCTGAATAAATTCAACATGTTTCTATTTAAAACCGCTTCCGACCGAATTCCTGTAAGTTTATTAAGGGAAATTAGGTAAGTAAATTATGTATTTTAGCTTTCATTATGTAGTACGATTTCCGAATAATGTTATAGGTAGTTACAAAAGTATCCTTACGCGGTAACAATATCAATATAAACGGATCATTTACTCAAAATCATAAACCCTAGTGACAAAAAGATAAGAAGCAAGCCGGGTCAGGCTCGTCTGGGGCCTCACTCTGGACATTTGGAAATTGTATTCATTTTAATAGGCAGAAGTTGACCGCTTGCATTCCGGCCGCGACGCCGCCGCCGAGTCGCGCGCGCAGTACACAAGGAGGCTCTGGCGGCTCCGGGCCGGTCCGCGCCGCGCCACTATCTTGCCGCATTCAGTGTTGCCAGAAGGTTACTTTTGTAACCTTTTAGGTTACTTTTGAACTGCAGTGGTTACTTTTAGGTTACACTAATGAAAAGGTTACTTTTAGGTGATTTTTCAGAAATTGTAGAATTAACTTTTACAGGTTATTCAGTAAAAAATATTAATAGTGACAATTTAAAAATGATGTCATAAAGTGCATTCAAACTTGAATTTGATTTATTATTTGTTAAAAAAAAATGAGTTTTCGCGAATGTTTTTCGATAATAAAACGCAAATCCATGAAACGTTTTTATACGACTGGTCACTTTTCGAATTTAGATGATCAATTGTATTCATTTTCCATCCATGAACAACCTTACACAATCATCGCTCCGAACCCCCCCCCCCCCTTATAAAGGTTACTTTTTATTCAAAAAGATTACTTTTTTTTATATTTCTGGTAACTTCTGACTAGACCCGACTGGCAACACTGGCCGCATTCCACCGCGCCCCGCGCGTGCCTTCGCCGAGCCCGAGCCCGACCCACGCGCCCGCGGCCCGCGCTGCGCTGCCGCTCAGTCGTTCTTGCGCGCTCATGGCCTCAGTGCGCCGCGAGAGCCAGTGCCGCCGCACCGCCGAGATCGCGCAACCTCAGTGAAGTGAAGTGCCAATGGATGCGGTTTACCAACGGATTTAGTGTTTACATTCGGCGGCTTGGATTTGTCTATTCATGGTGAGTTCTGTGCACACCCTCGGCGTTATGGACGGCGCATTGGATGCGCGCGCTTTCACGATGCGGCCACTTTCATTTTATACGCATAGCTCGAATTCCGTGCGCCCGCGCGGATCGCGCTGCGGCCGCTGACCCTGCGCGCCCTTCCTCTAGAGCAGCCACCAGGCACCATGCTCGCGGCGCGCGCCTGCCCGAGACATCCTAACTTTATCCAGAAGGGAACTAATGGCACCATTGCAGTAGTCTTAAAGACAAACCAGTAAAACAATTCAAAACTGGTTAGTCCTGACAGTTGGGGTAAGCAATTTCACAATGAACATTCTAATGTAGGTAATAACATCTTAATGACTTCAGAATTCTTGCCTTGTCTTAGTGACACGTAATTAAGAAGGAATGCAGGAAATTAATACTTTGAAGTTGCTTGAACGTAGGCAACAACAAGCCATCAAATCAAAGCCATAATCTGTCATCACATCACTAATGCAATAAAAACTTAATCACTGGAGTGGTCCGATAGAGCTCGGAACACGGGGCCCTGGGTTTGTTCTCAGGCGGGACATTGGATAGTTATTCGAATTCAATAACAATTGAAGTTAACCCAATAGCAGGATAAATAATTTTGATACTGAAGTATTCCTCTAGGGCTATCCGGCTATATTTCTAGAGGTAGAGCTAGATAGCGTTCATTCAGAGAATTAGGAAGTCAGGAAGAACACTCAGTCATCTTGTCACAAGAATGAGCTATTAATGGAATTCAAGTAGACAACACCTATTTAACTACACCTCTATGAGCACAGTGATTGATAAAGTAAATGATTCATTAACACATGAGTTCACATAACATAATAAACAGCTACGTCCGCGAGCGACCGCATTCCTCTGATAGCACGCCAAGTAAGTAAATATAAGTAGGTATACAAAGTTAGATGTCTTTAGGTACTCAAGATTCACCAAGCAAGCTCTTACTAGAATAGTAATAAAGGCCAGAATCGTACAGACTACTGGAGAGGAGAACGTATAATTACCAAAATTACGATACACATTTATATAATGGCGGTTTCGGTTGTGTTCCGGATAACTCAACTCAGAAACTGATTTTATTTATTGAAATCAAAATAATGTACCAATAGCGTAGTATTAAGACTATGGCTGTTTGGTTTTAATATCGCTCCCCTTAACTCTACCGTTACCAAACACGTGAGAAGGAAGACGAAATCCTGTCAGTACTGAAAAAAAAAGCTAACTACTATTTTTAATGGATTTTTCCCTTAAATACAACCAAAGGTTAAAGGTACAATTTTTCGGTTTTTCGCTTAATCCTCGGAAACTATGCGTCCTAGTGACATGATCAAATGACTACTATGAACCAAATAAAAGCTTATTAAATTTGCTACAGGTGATTTAGTCAAGTTTTTCTATATCTTGTATACCTAGTTTTCGCAGCATCTGCTCTAACAATGTTTCCATCAGGAGAAAATCGACTAAATCAACATTGAGCAAACATTCTAGACAAGCGGGAGCATGCAGCAGCAAAATGTTGACCTGACTAACGCATTTCTTGTACACTGATACCTTGGACGAATGAAACTGATACGCAACTAATGATACGATTAAGCCATTTCCATTAAAGTTTAGTTCAGACGGTAAACATTACCATTAATTGTGGATCGACGTATCAAATTCAAGTTAAGTATGTTGCCAGTAACAAGTTCCTAACGCTTAAAAAATTTATTACATCCCCTTAATTAAAGCTTCCTGTTTCATTTAACGTCGGCGGATGTCGAAATTTCTCACAAAAGAATTTGTCAAATATAAATAGGAAATAGGAAGCTATTGAATTAACAGATTATTGTACACATCGATCGTCCATAATCCCTAACAGACGCTTTCCATGGTAGGCACAAACATTTCAAAGATAAACAATATTTTAAGAATTTTTTAGATTGATATGTTTCTTATAGCAATAAGAAAGATAGGGCGTTCTAAATCTGCCTGGCTAGCTACCACCGTCTTCCCTAAGTCTGTCGCCATAACAACAATGTTACAGCATTGTTGTGTTCCGGCAGTTGGAGGTCAGATAGCCAGTTCCTCTGGATTGAGGATTGCGAATGAAGCTCGCTTCTAAGTTCGGTCCGATCATAATTTTCCGTAAAGTGAGATGCAGGCCAAGAGCTTTCTCGTTGTGGATAAAACAAATTACCTATTCCAAATCCCTTAGGTTGAATGGAGACGGCAAAGATTAGAATTGGCTTAAAAACTAGATTGATTAGTGATAAGTTATAAATCCTTTTACTGATCGTGAGCTTTAGAAGTCTAGACTGGTTGGAATGATAAGGAAAATTCGTGTTTTTATGCTTTTAAAAAGTGACTACAATATCAGATTAACAATAAGATAACTACCTAGAGACCTTTGACGATAAGAATCTGTCAGGCCAAGTTCAAAATCATGAGCCTTCAAAGAAAACTATATTCATTTCAAAATTGGCATTCTCTACTAGCTAAAGGAAGCAGGTAACTATTGACTCTGAACTGGATAATATATTATATGCTGTCCATTAGCAAAGAAACCCAACGATGTCGTCAATTGGCTAAATTGACTGTAAAAGATACCTAATTACCTACTCAAATCTTACGCAAAAAGTCCATGGTAACTGACAAGCCTTGCATTAGTATAATTTACTAGTTTTGGTCAACTAAATTACGTAAAAAGTTAGTTGTGACGATATGATTATTTAAAAAATTTTCGTTGTTTTGATCCCAATATCGCATAAATTCACGAATCGCCACAATATGAAGACAACGCTCTACCAACTGCTACCAAAACCACAGCCAAAACATACAAAACAGAAATACAAATAATTCTGAATGAAGCAAGAAGCACATTAATTTAGGTAGATCCATCCTCGATTTGAGAAAATGTTATTAAAATTCAAATGGACTACTTTTACTACCCTTTGAGTTGCATCAAGTATAATTAATTAAACAATGTGCTTAATGAAGCAAGATGGAAAACAAATCAGCTTATCGGATCGGATCAGGTACGGGAAAGGACAACTTTCGACACTAAAATAACTACTGGATGGCGAGCTTATCTACTCATTTTAAGCCTTGCGTTTTAGCATGATTTTGTCCACGATTTCTCTAATTTACCAGAGGCAAGTCGAGGACTAATATACCTCATGAATAAAAAAGAAAGGTACCTAACATCATTACAAAATAAACTAAAAATCCCTTCTAAGTAATTTCGCTATTAAGAAATCAAGAGAGCAGAGCACCAAGTTAAAACTAAAGAGTTATAAGAATAGACAACAGAAATACCTTAAACACCTTTACTCAATTAAAGGCTAACCTAACACACTTACTTGGTAAAAATCAGTTGCTTAGAAATGGAAATAATAAAAGTATAAACCCGTTTGAAAAACCTAACAGTACTTATCTTTGCTAATCTTTGCAGTCAAAGGATACGGACTTAAAAGCTTATAAATCATTCAAAACGGTACAGATATCATGACTTTTCAAAATCAGTGAAATAGGAAATTGGTAAAGCTGTTTTAACTTCAAATATTACAAGGACCCGGAGGAAAGGAATTACCTATGCTATGTTAATGATTTCAAAGTTTTAGTCTTCTCGTAATAATTTTAGTTACCACTTTCGAGTTCCGACTGATTGTGAGAATTTTATTATCTTTTTTTAATGAGACTAGCGCATGATGTGTTGTGTGCCTCTTGCTCTACATTTTTTTTTGACGACGTTTGTAGGTTAATACCTATTTACTTCTTAAAAAATCTGCATAATGTTCATAGATAATTATCAAAATCATCATAAGTTTTATAGAGACTAGCTTTGTCACATTGTTTATCCCAACTAAATTTAATAGAGCTTACTGATCAATAGAGCAAAGCTCCCTCCCAGACTCATCAACCTCATTGACAGTATCACCTTTGTTATAGTTATATTATCTTTTTATGTTGTTTTATTCTAACTCCATCCCAAAGACCCCAATTTAATTGACACTTTACATAAACCGCATGTACAGTCGCGGAATGAAAAGGTTCGTCACCTTAGTGTCGGTTTTCGCTTGCACTAGGTAAGAGTCAAACCTGCCAACATAACAGTGCAAGAAACAGTGCTGCTAACATTTAAATAAATATGACGTTTGCTAACGAATAAGGTTTTGCTTGTTTATTTTTCTATCCCATCAGTGCAATGCAATGATGACATTGACCAATTGACAATAGTTTTTTTTTATTTTATAAGAAATAATAATGGCAGGTTGAACCAACAAGAAGGTTTTAGTTTATCAATCATAATAATCTTCTTGACAAGATAAATCGTCAAACAACTTTGATCTGAATAATTTTGAACTTTACTGACGAACAGTTAAAGATTATTTTCTCTAACTCGAGATTATTCTGTAACATAGTTTCAAAACGTAATATGTGCTCGCGATTCGTTGAAGGAATCAATTTGAAAACTGACGAACCTTTTCATTCCGTGACTGTACCTAGATCGCTATCGACCCCCGGGGGTCGTTATAGACCACTTTGGATATCTAAGAATTTGAGCATATCACTAAAATCCGTATTCACAATCAACGTTCAAAGCTCGATTGTACTGAGATTAATAATGTAACTACTCTTCGGAATATTAACATTCAAAACCGCAATCTGTGCTTGAAATTGTTTCCAGTTTTGTGCTGCGTTGCTTGCTGTAAATTTTGTGACCGGAATTTCGCGATAGTTAACAAGTTGTCGTAACGTAGATCTCATTCATGGTTCCACCTACGATAAATTATTCGAGGTGTATTTGTGTCATCATGTTTGAATAAAATTTTGGATTTAGGTAGTTACCTAACCACTTGGTTAAGTTGTTGGAAATGAAAAACTGGGTAGTTAGATAAATGTACCTTAATAATAGATAGAGCAGACCATTTAGCTTTTTGTAACTCTAAGACTTGGGCCTATGCCCTAAATTGGGTAAAAATAGCTAGATGTATGGTCAGCAAACTGATTGACGATAAGCACTTCCTCAGCGGGTCCTCATAGTGTCGTTAATAGCTGTTACAGCTTACCTACTGAGTCTAGATCCTTTGAACTTGGACACATTTATGTAATCCGTGTTTAAACCAGTTACCTCAAAACGTGACCCTGTTCAAGATTTTGACCCTTATCATCTTGACAATTCATAAGTGTCAAACGTGGTGGCGAGATGTCGAAGTGGAGGCAACGTCGGCCTTTAGGTATGCGAGGACGCAAGATGCGGCCGGCGTCGGGGGAGGGGCGCTCGGCATGTGAAGGTCGTCCGCATTCCTCGCGTCGCCGTCCGCGGCTACCGCGCTTACGTAGCGCCCCCTCCCCCCTCCCCCCTCCCCGCGGCCCGCGCGTTGCGCCCGCGCCGACCGGTCTGCCCCCGCCCCGCTGCCTGACCGCCATCACAAACTATCGCGCATTTACTAAAACAAAAAACTTGTTCTTATGGCTATCAAGAGCTGAAGAGCCGCAGAGGTACCGGATGGGATGAAATTTATTCGCGTCTAGTTTTTTAGAACCTGATCTCGTGGTTCTACATTCCAATAAACGTTTTATAATAGGTGCCTACCTATCTTGCCATTGGAAATATTCGTGCGCTGCTCATTTGGCCAACCAATGTAATGAACCATGGTTTGAAATCGTTTCTTTATCTACCTTACCTACTTAAGACTTTCTTAGTTGTAGTATAAAATTTCTCACATTAATAAGTTTATCAATCATCATAATCCAAAGGCAGTACAAAACAAGTAAAGTGCCTAAACGTGTAAATATAGCCAACAATGTGAGCAAGGCAGCAGGTAGCAAAAAGGCGATTGTGTACAAAAGACGTTAATGGAATGCACAGATGGCGCAGATCCGACATTCTTGGGAATGCAGCCGCAGCCGCCCGGCAATAGGAAGAATATAATGTTGTGGATGCTATAGTTAATACAGCGCAGAGCGGATGTAACTCCAAATATCCTTGCGATGATGAAATTATTGCTGGATTGTTACTTACATTTAGAGAAGATTTTTTATAGAAACACTTAGGATAGAACGAATTTGATGAATTTTTCATTAACAAAGATTTTAAAGAAAAAAATAATGTAACTATCGCACCAGTTTAATACCTAGATGAGGATGAGGAGCTAAACTCACCCAAAAAATGTCTTGGATGATGGCTGTTGAGCCATCAAAGTTATTATAGCCTGACCAGGAACATCAATGATATTATATAAAAACAAAAGCAGATATGTTATAAGCGCTCGCGCTGTGAATACTCAAATACGTCCCAATTGGGACGTCTTGTGTTTAGTCTTCGTGTGGCCAGCGTCGTGCGCAATCGCGTGCGTACCACACCGTAAGTTCCTGTGTTCTTACCAAAATAAATAAAAAATGCCATCGTGTGTGTACCAATTATGACTCTAACGTAAACAAAATACAAGGGATCTCTTACCACATGTGATTATGCAAAATTATTTAGTATTTATATTTTTTAATTATTTATGCAAACAATCAAGACGCCATCGCGTCATGCGCCATGTTCAAGTTAAGAAAGAGAAAGCGATCTTGTTTTGACGTTAGAGCGATAAGGATGCGTGCGCTGCGGACATAGATTAGTTAGTGCAGAATCGTTAAAACTATAGCTATCTCTTTCATTTGCGTGCTATTTCGTATCTTTTGTTTCACTTATCAGTTACATTTGTCAATGTGTGCAATTTGGAATAGCTCGGCACGGATTAAAATCGTAATTTCTATGAACGTAACATATCTATAGTTCTGTAATATCATTGAGGAACATAAAAACCCTGGCACAGAGGCGCTTCAATTGCATTTGATAGTGCAACACTGAGTACAGTCGTACATGTGTTAAATTAAATTAAATTAATAGGCTAAATTTATGTATCAGGATTCAGGATTACGGGCTAATTTGATATTATCATAAACTAACGAAAAATAACTAAAGAAATTAGTACCATTAGTTTTCCGCAACATGGCGAGGGTTTTTATGTTCCTGGTCAGGCTATACAAATTTTGAATTGAATTTGGAGAACAGACTCCTCAAATCAAGATCAAAACTCTTTCTAAAGAATTACATTGAGATAACCATTTCGATACAGAATTTGACAATAATGCAAAACTCTATCAAAAGAAAGATCAATCACATTGAGAGAAAGAATACCATTTCAGAAATGGAATGAGTTCCAGAATGGGAAATTGCTTAAATGATATTGAAACGTGGATAGGATATTGAAATGTGAGAGATGAAGGTTTATAACCTTTCGAACCTCATTTCGTAGCTTACATCGTAATGCCGAAGTGCATAGTACTACCAATAACGTTAAAAACTCAAACGCATTAAATATTTTTTGTCCGTACACTAGGCTTAAACACTAAACTCTAGCTAGAGATAGATAATCCTTTTACTCTAACTAATCTATTTCTTGAAATTTTTGTTTTTCTTTTATGTATTGCTTGTTATTTTTTCCTCGTTATATCCATTCTTGTCCTTAGCTCATTGCACCTAAATTAGTTACCTAACTGGTTTGCAGAATAACGACTAAACTACGTCAAATATTTTAACCATTATTCCTCTTCTTCTTCTTTTCGTGTCGACAACAAACCTACACAGCGTCAGCCCAAAACTCCGCCACAAGAGTGGCGTTGTCAGTAGCACTCATCAAATCCTCCTGAGTGCAGTTGCTTGGGCACTCAGGGCACGACATCAGGTGCTTCATCGACTAGGGAACAAAACCTGATATTAACCATTATTAATTAGGTATTGCCAACACCAAACTGACAAAATAAATTAATTGTTCCAGAGCGAGTAACAGTGGTATCGAGATGCGACATGCGTGCTCTGTGTTCGGTTCGCGGGCCGCTGGGCGGAGAGACGCGTGCGCTCGGCGCCGGCGCACGCCTGCTCGCGCTGCGCATGCCCGGCCAGCCTCAGCCGCTGCACTTCGTCGTGGAAGCCAAGGCGAGGGTGAAGGAGCTCAAGTCACAGGCCAATGCGCACGCGCAACTACAAGGCATGATCGACATGGATCTCTTCGGATTGGCTGTACTGCAAAGTAAGTTTCATCCAAATTATGCATCTGCTCCAAATTTCAATTCTATCACAGTTGAATTGCTTCTATTTCTTGTGATCCCCTCGGTAGTTAGTCTCTTCTATTTCTAAACAAAGTCTGTCATTTCTTTGATCTTCTTACGCTGCAAGTGTTTTTTGACGATCTTCTGTATTACCTTGATTGTATGGTACCTACCACTGCCTTGATGGTCGTAACTTATTCATTAGGTAATCTAAAAATAGAATAGTCCTTTATCTTCTNCCGCGGCTTCGCCCGCGTGGAATTTTGTCTGTCACAGAAAAACTTTATCGCGCGCGTCCCTGTTTCAAAAACCGGGATAAAAACTATCCTATGTTCTTTCCCGGGACTCAAACTATCTCTATGCCAAATTTCATCAAAATCGGTTGCGAGGTTTAAGCGGGAAAGCGTAACAGACAGACAGACAGACAGACAGACAGAGTTACTTTCGCATTTATAATATTAAGTTGGGATTAGTTGGGATTATTATGTTTGGAACGTTTATAAAATGCGTCTCTCATCTTTTATTCGGATCAATTAGTACCTATATGAAACGGTATTGCATTTGCTATTTGGACTAGAACCTAATGGTACTCGCTATGTAAAGCAAACCAAATCTGTCAGCTAATAATAAAGATAATAATGGTTCTAATCGTCAGTCGTCACGTTATGTGCGAATCAACATCTAGGTACCTCACACAAATACACAATGCAATAAGTACATCCCGTGCGTCATGCATGCAAATAACAAAACGCGCTATCCTTGGACCGTGTTATCAGCTAGTCGTTAATTATACCACATTCTAAACACAAAACACACAACTTATCTCTATTCATATAATTTTAGTGAACAATTTTACAGTTGTTGTTTTTTTCCTTTCAGATGGAGAATATTTATTCGTTGATTTAGAAAGCAAACTATCAAAATATGCGCCAAAGAGTTGGAGATCATCTCATACACATGTAAGTTTATCTAACTTCATCCAAATCTATATCAGTAAATTTTTAATTTGTTGTATTGGATCACCATGTGCATGTAATTTACTTTTGACTGTTCTTTTTTCAGGGCTTGGACGCAAATGGGAAGCCACTTCTGGAATTACATCTGGTGGTTCAATTCCACGTTGAAAGTCCACTGCTCCTTCACGACGAGATTGGGCGTCATCTTTACTTCCTGCAGCTCAGGAGTAACGTGCAATCGCGGGATACACTACCCGCTGAAATACTCCTTTTGCTGACTGGTCTAGCTTTGCAAGCCGAGTATGGCGATGCAGCAGACTACGAAGACCGTGACTACTTCAAGGTGGAAGAGTATGCGCCCACGTCGCTCACGGGAGATTGGGTTGCTTCAGCTATGCGTGCGTGTCACAGAGAACATCGGGGTCTCTCTAAAATAGACGCCGAAACCAGATTCATACGTGAAGTCTGCCTCCTTCCTGATACTATCAACTCGCATCGCTATAGGCTCAAACAATCAAAAACAGAATCCGATCCCGGAACGGTATGGCTACTTGTGACTGCAAAAGGCATAAAAATACTTCCTGACAATGGACCGCTATCAGATTTCATTTGGAGTGCTATAGGAAAATTAAGTTTCGACAGAAAAAAGTTCGAAATAAGAACAGAAGAAGGAAAAATCACATTATATTCTTCAAGTGAGGAAAAATGTAAATATTTATTTTCCCTATGTAAAGAAACTCACCAATTTTCGATGAAGATAGCTCCGAAGTTAAACGAAATTTTGAGAAAAGAGGAGGAGGAACGGAAAAATTGTTATGGATACTCAAAACCATTAAATTTTCAATACAACCCAAGTAATAAAAATGAACAAAGAATATCAGTGATATCCTCAACTAGTTCAAATACAACGTCCGGAATCGTAAGCGATAGAGTTCAGTCTGAAGACGAACTAGAAATTATGATTGATTCACCTCCTGCTCCATCAACTGAAAGCTTGGCATTTGCTCATTTATTAGACTTTTCAAACTCATATTTTATCCGGCACATGCCCCAAGAAAACCAACCACTAAGTAAGACGTCATCTTTACAAATGCAGAAGTCAAAAGGTCGAGTTAAGAAGAGTAATGAGAACGAAACTTCTACTAGTAGTAAAAATGATGCTAGTTCAGCAGATGTCAGTCAAAATCCAACAAATCAATTAGATGAAACTACTTCTTTACCTGATCAAAGTATGACAGAAAGTGATAGCCCGGTCTCTAATAAATTAAAGTGTACTGGATCGCAATGTTCATCATCATGCAGTACAGTAATAATGGCCAGGGCCGGCCTAAGTGCATTGAGCAGAGCGTCTAATGCAAGTAGTTTGGAACTTGGATACAGTCACACGGCACAAAATTCCATGCTCAGTGACAACAGTACCGTTGGCATAGATGTAGAATACTCCCAAGACACAGCTTCAGCATTATACGATGGTTTGGGACAACCGGTGACTGTGGCTGCTTCAAGTGAAACTAGTGGAGTTTATACAATGGGAAGTTCGGAACTTACAGCGCGATCAAAAATGGATACATTATCTGAAGACAGTAGAACAGATTATAGTGTACCAAGATTTGATAGTTATAAGTTATCTAAAGACAATGATCTAGCTGACTTTGATAGTGTTTCTTCTATTTTAAAAAATAAATCCGAAAGATCTAGTCATTCAACAAACACATTGAGATTACAAGCTGCTTTACCTAATGCTGATTGTGTTGATGGTGCTACTAATTTCTCAAATCAAAAACACAATGAAGATGAAAACGTTTTCAGAGAGCGCACAAACTCCAATGTAAGTGCGACCTCATTTCATGGGGACGGTAGCGATCCAACGGATAATAAACATAATCTTCTCACAGCTAGTGAACTAAGCGACCTGATTGTCGGCCGAGGAGTATATCCAAAGAGTCAGTCCGTAAGCGACACTCTTGATTCGGTATCTGATTACGTCAGATTACCACTACCGTTTAGCGGAGATAGTTATATCCAAGGACACGAAGATACTGCCCCTTCGGATGACAACTATCCTAATAATATGTTTTTCGATCGTCCTCCCACACCTCCGACCAGAACTGATAGTCGGAAACTCCTTAATATGTCTCTGCCAAATATTTTAGACATTGATAATACCCCAGCACCGGTTCGAACTGCCTTCCCAGACAAACCTCCACCTCCTTACGAATACAATCATAAAACGTTATCACAATACGCACAAAGTCCTGTTAAAGCACCGCCTGCTTATCCAGGAACATCATCGTCGTCATCAGCTATATCAATAAGACAAGCAGAAAAAGAAGAAGTGGCAGCTCGGGTAGTAACTTCAAAACCTATGATCACAATTCTTAAAGCTGAAGCAGGTGAAGTTAACTCATCAAGTGAAAGAACGTTTGCAAGTCCAATGGTATTGGAACACAGGTTTCAAAAGTCAAAACGTCACCAAGCGTCTAGCCGCAGAGCTGAAAGGTCAAAACTGGCTCAAGGAATCAATAATCTCTCTCCATCAAGAGAGCCACATGGGGTAGATTCTAATGTTCTCGTGGCTATGATGAAACTGCCCCCACCGCCACCACCACCTCGCAGAACGAGACTGCCTCCTCCACCCCCGGCCGCAAGATTACCGCCTCCGCCGCCACCACACAATCCTATGTTCCATCAACAGTTGTACAGTGACGTTGATTACGTCTATTATCCCATGCAAGATCCAGCCATATCACAACAAAATTACCTCGATCACAAATTAACGGAAACACGTGTGTCTAACATGCACAAAACAAGCCTGCAATATAGAAGTACGCCATACCTATCTACATCACTATCGGCATCGTCCATGTATGGATCAATACAGAATCTTTCAGACTCTTATGTACAACTCCCAGGAGCACGTACAAGCTGGTATTCTTTGACAAGCAGAACTTCACTGAGCAATCATTCTATAAATCTTGAAAGACCTCCATTACCAACACGCATAGCTGATTTCCCAAGTTTCTCGAGAGCTAAATCTGACGAGAATATACTGAATCCGAGAGAGCCACCCCCGGTCAAAATGAGACGCATGCCTCCGCCTCCACCTCCTCCGTATGAACACAAGAAGAAGCTCCCTACACACTTAAAAGAAATTCCTCTTAGTAGAAGTGATGCCAGTGTTAGCAAAACAAAAGACACAAAGTGTGATTTGGACATCAAAACCCTTCGAGAAAAAAGCAAGAATCTCGACTTGCCCCTCATAGCAGCATTGTGTAACGATCGATCGCTGTTAAAACAAACTAAAGCGTTTGGTGCTCCAAAGTTAAGTAAACAGACAGGTAGTGACTGTGAAAGTGAACGTAAGTGTGCCAAGACCGTTCAAAACACCACCGACAGTTTAGATCGTAAGAAACAGGAGAGTGTCGATAAAAGAACTACCGCTAGTTCTCAAAAAAAGATATTAGTTAGAAATCCTACGGATAAACTTCCAGCTTTACCAAGTTCTGAAAATCACACACCTAGAGCTATGTCTAATACCTATGTAATGCATCCAAGTGTAATTAAAAGTAAGAAAACACAATCTAGTTCATGACATCACGAAAAAAATAATAACAGCACATACTTGTGAATCCTTCCAGTGCTATGAGCTTTTATCCACCGAATTTACAATGCATAAAAATAAAAGACTGAAATACAATAGACGCCTAATACTTTTGAGCTTTTACTAAATTTAAATCAATGATAAACCCTTACTAAAACAGTACAAGACATGATTCGCACGTAGGTACTTATTATGGAAATGTACATGCGATTGTGTAAAAATTGGTGTATTTTAGATACTAAAACATTTTTAACATGTTAGGCTAAGGAGTTTCTCACGGACTCAACTTTACTTCAACATTTTTAAAGTCACAATTCGTTAATGTATACAAAATATGTAGCTTTTTTTTAAAATAGATGAGCAAACTTGACTCATTAAAACTTACTAAAATCTCATAACTATGATCTGCCAATACTTTGCTCATGCTATGAGAAAACAGACGGGTATAATGACATTTAGAAAAAGCCAAACACTTTAAATTATATAACATAATCGTAATATAATACAAATATTACATATTTGAATCCCAAGAGATAAGTATGAGATTAAAATAACACATTCTCTATCACTAAAGAAAACAATTTGCATGTTTGGTCATTTCTAAATGAACACATTTTTTGAGTATGTACCTATTTACTAAGACATGAAAGACATCAGCAGCACATAAGACTAAATATTTTTTGTAAAATAATAGCACATGATACGACCATTTTAGCTTGATGTGCTGTTGTCTTACACCCGTATTCACAATTCTTGCTTAAGTGAAACAGCAAATCGAACGCACAGCGTTGAATAGAGCTCTGTGATTAGTTTGTATGTCACCCTGTGCGTTCACACTCACTGTAAGACCTCATAGTTGAATACGGTCGTTAAAAACTTTAACTTCTTGTACACAATCATCAATAGTTCCAGAATTATTCATTATAATTATTGGAAATAGCTAAATGGTACCTAAAGATGTTATTTTAATCATAGTGAAATTAAAAATATGCACGACATTCCTTATTAAGACTGAATAACTACATTAACTATTTGGTTTTACTTTTGTCATTGTTATTTTAGATTAACTTTAAGTAAAAATCAAGTTCCTCGCTTTTCGTGAGATATTAGAGAAAACACATCAAAATCGATACAGTAGTTTATAAACTATACGTAACTATTAAATAACTGTGCCTATACAGACAAATGAGTGAAATACAGCAAAGACTTCAATTTATAATAATGTATGGATCACTATAAATAAGTAAATTAACAAGTTTAAACAAATCATGGCATTTGACCAAAGTGTGGGAAAAGGATCAACATACATTATCATCATTTTCTTTTCAACTTGGTAATTTACACTTAGTCTCAAGTAAATTGTTAGGTATAAGACCATCACATTTTCGATAATTATTTAAACATTTCATTTTAATGTGTTAATGCATAAAAATTAAAAACTCTATCTTTTATAAAAAAAAATGTACTCCACATTTTTTGCCTGTTAAGATTATGTTTATGTAACTAAGTTTAAAAAAATGTCTGGAAACTAAACTTTGGAGTCATGTCATTGGCACTAATTATTATCATTAACACTAAGTAATTAAATGATAAAAGCAAATATCAACAACTATTTATTAATACATTTTCACTATGTGTACATAATAATGTCATACATACTAAGTACATAATTATTTGTTTCCAATGTGTACAAATGTATATTTTTGTAAATATATGAATTTTAATTGTTTTGACTATTTCAATTCTTAAGCCCATAATAATATCTTTGGTATAAAATAGGACATTGTCTACACTACATGACACACAGATCTACTGAAATATCTAAAATACATAAATAAACATATACTTTGGTATTCAACATTACAATAGTTGGTAACTCTTATTAACAAAATTGAGATGATTTAAATAACAGTCATTGGCTATTAAAAATATACTAGTTAGGAATAAAAAATCTAATTAAATAATACTTGGTAAATATATGCTATAAAAGTTAATAGCATAAACAAAACAGGGATTTTTTATAACAATTAGGTACAATTTTTCTCTATATACCTAGTAGAATTCAAACTAAAAACTCGCATAATTAAGCACATTATTTTCTATTTAAGTAACAACATTTATGCACAAAAGTAACTGGATAAAAGATCAAGTCAATACTGATTAAGAAACGAGATTCAATTTTTAAAGTGTAAGGTTTTTTACTTATCCAATTTTAATATGAAAGCTGAATTGGGTGGAAAAGTAACCTGATCAAAATACAACACTTGACCAATCAGAGATGCATTGGTACCAGCAACTACCATACCACCATAAAACATGGTAGACAAATCAGTTGTTATGGGAAAGTTTCCAAGGTTACCAACAAAAACACAAGTATTTCTACGAGGGTACCAACGCTCAATGACCACTAAATTCTCATCAGTTTTCCGTATATCCATATTTTTAAGGTTAAAACCATCTTTGTAAATAGCCCTTAAATATATTGTTGGAGTGTTCAGTCTCACTTCCATAAAAGTTTTGATTACATCCAAGAAATGATACTTAGGTGTGGAAGAAGATTCTGAATTCCATGGCAAAACTACACTATTATCAGATTTCTCATTATTAGGAAACTTCATTGGCACTAGATTGTGAACATCTTTATGTTCATGAAAATCTACTTCAACTGTCTCATTAGACAGCCCTGTTAGGCCTATTTCATCTCCATAAAATATACTGATAGTTCCAGGTAAAACCAATTCAAGAGCAATCAGAGCCAAAGTATTGTTCAGATGTTTGGTGGAAATCCTCTCACTTCCAATATCTCCAATGTTCCAATGGACCCAGGGATAATGAGGCTTTGCCCAGAGGGTTCCAGTTATCACATTTTCAATTCTATTTTTTAATTTATTAATGCCATCATTCATATTTAAATGAACATCAATTAAATCAATTCTGGACATCATAACTTTGAGAGATTCATCTTTAGCTTTTGAATAAGCTTTTTCACTAGCAATAAGTATTTTCTCAGAACCTATAACAAACTTCCAGAACTGCAAGGATTTTCCAAAATTTGTGTCATCAACATATTTCTCAAGGTCTTTTAAATAAAAACCATCAACAGTTTTATTTAATGCCCAGAAAGCCAGCGCCTGAGATGTTTCATCTAAATTCCTATCAATTGAATGATTGTTTAATGAGCTAGTGGGGACCAGTGAATTGACTGGAAGGTCAAGAATCAAATACATATTTCGTTTATGGACTGCTTCAACTAGGTCTTCAAAATCTTTATGTGTGCCAACACTTCTTGCAAGCTGCACAGAGGAAGTTACATTATAGTATTGTACTGGGTAATTATCAGCAGTAAATATATAATTGAGGCGAATTGCTGAAACACCTAGGCTCTGAATATAATCCAGTTTTTTAACCAGACCTTTCAAGTCTCCAGTTCCATCATCATTTGAGTCTTGGAAACTGGCAGGAAATACTTCATAAAATACTTTGCCGTGGTACCAAGGTAGATCAGGATTGCATTCCTTAGGGATGGTTACGACCATTGCAATGATTGCACCAAGGCAGGCCACAAGTCCTGACAGAACAACCCATAACAAGACTTTCCTAATTACTCTCCAATTCCAGTTGACAAAATCAGGTAACTTTCTGTTGTTTACATTCACATTTCCATTCAATTTGCTATCTTCAGTCTGAAACAATAGAAATCAAAGTATTTTTAAATTATCTTGCCAAATAATAAAATATGCATTTAAGATAATCATTAAAGTTATAGCTTACAGGTCCCAAAATAAGATCTCCATTTTTGCTTAAAGTTTGGTAATCCAACATGCTTATATTGTTTATCAGTTGTGCACTGACAGGATCTTGGACAACAGAATTAGAGTCGGCGGAAGAACTGGAATCACCTGCAGAAGCATCTGAAAGTAAAATGTCTGCATTAATGTTGATTAAGCCAGAATTTGGTTGTAGTATTTTAAAGTAAATAATTTATACTTTGTTTTAAACAAAACATTTTAGTCTACTGGCTCGAAATCAAGCACACATCTCTTGCCACACATGTACATGAAGTGTTTTTGGATACTTACCAGAATTTTGCGAGTTCGCCATATTTGCATCGTCGTTGATGGTTAGGAATGGTCGCTCCTCCATTTCTTCAGATAGAGGATGTTTAAAATCCAGTGGAGTCGGACTTGGGGTAGTGGGCAGAAGCAGACACGTTGAAGATTTAACTCCTCGTAAGTAATCCAAAGTTTCAACATCTCCAGGCTCATTACTACTGTTTTCCGGAAGTTCATTCATTGTAATAGAAAATTTGTCTAAAGTATGATGCCACGACTGTATTCACTTTTAACCTTACTGCCTAAGTTTAACTGCAATGTTAAATAATTATAGGCACTGGATAAAATACAGGGTTAATCTATTTTGGGATCATTTTTCAACTTCCAACAAAAGTCACGAAAAGTGCGACCAACCAAGGAATTTGTGACAGTGACAGTGACAGCAGTTTTTTTTTTTTTTGGTTCTATCCCTTTGCAGGAAAAGGTACTATGCTATACAGCCAAGTCTTTGGTTTTTATTTTTCTGGGTTTTTTGGAATGGATCAATTCAAGTCTGCCTCGACGTGTATTGCCAACATCTAAAAAAAAGAACAAGAAAATGGATCAATTAAAAATCTAACTATAAAATCGATATGATCGATCGTATCAAATTATGATATCGTATCGCCGCCGACAATATTATATAGGTACGTCTCTAGTCAATAGTCATGTAAAAAAAAGAAAAGAAATTGTTGACGTTGTTGACGTTTAAAATTTTGATTATTACTTTTCTCTATGTTTTGATTGACCTTTGATTTTCATTTTGTAGCAGTAGTTTATTTATTTTTTGGTTTAAAAATCAAATATTAGGTACTAAAAATGATTACTTCAAGCAAAGTATTTCTAAACTCAAATGTTGCTTTAAGACATTTGATACTCTCGAAGTATTATTCAAAACACAGTGTTGTAGATGTCGATTACCAATACATGCAAAAAAGCAGAGTTCCTACAATGCACTTTCAAAAATCGTTACCGCGGTTGCCAATTCCAGAGCTACAGAAAACAGGGGAACGGTACTTAAACGCTTTAAAACCTTTGCTGACTTCTGAACAACTCGCCGAAGCAGAACGTCGCACAGCCGACTTTGTTACTAAAGATGCTAAGATTTTGCAAGAAAAGCTGCTGGCAAAGGACAAAGCTAACAAGCACACGAGTTATATATCAGAGTATTGGTTTGATTTGTATCTACGTGATCGTGCACCCCTACCCATTAATTACAATCCATTAATTGTGCACCAAAATGACACCAAAATCGATTACAATAATCAGTTGGTACGCGCGACTAATATGCTGACTAGTGCCCTAAGGTTTATGTTGTCGTTAAGAGAGAAGATATTAGAACCTGAAGTATTTCACTTGAATCCTAAAAAGAGTGACACTGATCTGTTCAGGACTGTTACAGGGATGTTGCCTGAAGCTGTGTCTTGGTACGTATTTTTTATTATATGAAGTAATTAAAATTTCATTGTACTGCTATTGAGTTTAATAAATTATGTTCTGAAACTCATTACTGTAAGGAACATGATTGAAATTGTGATGTAATTGTTTTGTATATTTAGCAGGCATTTAAATTCAAATAACTGACCAACTTGCATGTTAACACTACAGTACACGCGCCCCTTTTTTACACCAATACACGCGTGGCCTACTCTGGTAAGCCAATTTAAAATCGCTGTAAATCAGTTTGTAAGCAATTTATGAATAAAATTACTATGTAAATGATAAAAGTGCTTATTAAAGTTCTTTTATAATCAAAATTTCTTTATATAACCATTTGGGATAAAACATTATAAACAGATTAAAAAGTTGTAAATTTTTTGGACCAAAATTGCACTCTGAGATCCATATATTAGCAAAATCAAAATTACTGAAAAAATATGATTTGTTTTTAATCTGTCATAGTATTCAACACTTTCTACTGCCTGGTACATGGGGTAAACCCATTTTTTGCAAGTTTTCAATATTTGTTTGCTTAGTGATTTCGGGCTTTTGAGTAGACCCGCAGTTTTGACGGCCAATTTTAGAAAAGTGCGCAGACGCTAGCGACCCAAGCTTTACTGGCTTATTGACAAATTTAGTAAACGAGGCTTTCCTGGAATTCCAGCTCTCTGGCGCGAGTTTTTAAAAAGTTATTGCGTAAAATGTTACCCTGGTCTACTCTAGTAGGCCGCGCGTGTACTCTAGTGTTAATAAGTACATTATTATGTCAATGAACTTGCTTAAAAGTTATGAGATTGTCATTTGCAAAGTCCAATTCAATCCAAATTCATTAATCTATCTGAACTATCAATCAATTTTTATTTGTATTTTGAGTAATATACAATCATCTTTCATCATTATAGGTATGGGGCATATTTATTTAAGGCCTTTCCTCTAGATATGAGCCAGTTCGATGGCCTGTTTGGCGCGACACGCATACCTCAATTAGAAAAAGACAGAATTGTTAGGGATCCAAAAAGCAAACATATGGTTGTACAGAAAAATGGCCATTTCTACACATTTGATGTGTTAGATGCCAATGGTAAAATGTTAATATCACATTGAAAAAGCTTGGGAGCAGAAGTTCCATTTGCTAGATTTGAAACTCTTTTTCTGCAGCTATATTTAAACTTGTGACTATTATTCCAGGAAATCTTCTATCACCTGGAGAATTGTTAGGGAATCTGCATCAGATTCTAAATGACAACACTCCGCAAGCTGATCATCCACTTGGAATTTTGACCTGTCAAAACCGTGACCTCTGGGCCAAGCAAAGAACTCATATTGAAAATATTGGGAACAAAGATGCTTTCCACAAGATAGACACGGCTATATTTAATTTAGTATTGGACAATGAAATATTAACAGATGATAAACACAAACTCTTGAAGCATTATCTTCATGGTGATGGATTGAACAGGTATTTTGTTCCTTTTGATGTTAAATTAATTCTGATATGAAGTTTTTTCCTATTTGTGATCAAAGAAAACACATATTGTAGTATTTCAATAATATATACCAGAGTTTTTTTTCTTTTCTTCAACTTTGAACTGTAATAAATTGATACAATTCGTAAACTGTTTGTTATAATTGTAACTATGGCTATCTTTCCAGATGGTTTGACAAATCTTTTAGCCTCATTGTGTCCAAAGATGGTATATCAGGCATAAACTTTGAACACTCTTGGGGAGATGGAGTTGCAGTTTTAAGGTTTTTCCAAGACATTTACAAAGAAACAACAACTAAGCCATTTGTACATCCAGACACAAAACCATTGGAAACCAATAGAAGTGTCAGAAAATTAGGTAAATGATATGATATTTTACTTTCTACATAGCACCACAACTTGAGAAAATATCATAATGAAATTATCTCTCTGATATCAAATCTTTCATGTCTAGACACATTTTAAACAGGAATTGATTGATAAAGGTAGATAAATGATTACACAAAATAATTTATTAATTAGAAACAATGTATTTTTACAGAATTCAATCTTGATGAAAAGTCAAAGCAATTTATTGAGACTGCTAAGAAAGAGTACAAAGACTGGTATGAGTCATTGAGCATTGATTATATTTTGTATGAAGGGCTAAACAAAGAGGCATGTAAAAAGTTTAAAGTCAGCCCTGATTGTATTATGCAGCTTAGTTTTCAGGTAAGATCAGTAATTTATGGTACCATAATACCCTACTTGACTACTATAAAAGAGGTACTTCTAAAAAGAGCAGTTTGATTTTGTATGTCAAATGAGTAAGCATGCATGCTCTCTTTTCCGAAATTCCCAAATGTGATATTGGCGACCAGGATAGGATATGAACCTATGATTTGAGTGAAAGCAATACACTTTTACGTAGAATGAAGGTTTTAGGGTTTATCCCTTTAAAACACGTCATGGTGTTATTATAATATTACTAAAATTTTTAAACACAAATGTCAATGTAGTAAATATAAATAATGTTTTATGTTACAGGCTGCATACCATCTTCTGTATGGTAATTACGTGGGAACTTATGAATCATGTAGCACATCTGCTTTCAAGCATGGCAGGACAGAAACTATGCGGCCCTGTACTGAAAAAACTAAGGTAAACTATCAGTTAAGCTTCAACCAAACCAACGCGTCCAGATCGCCGATCATAGGCCAATGACCGGTCGCGCGGACTGTCATGGGTCGCGCGACCTGTCATTGGCCTATGATCGCGCCGGTGAATCATTTCGTTATTGTTCCTTTTAAATAGCTTTGTAAAATTGTCGAATTTCTGGGGAACTTCTTCTACGTCTACAAAAACTGGGCTTTAAAAATATTTGTGTATAGTTTTTCTACTAGGTATATCTTGCACAATTAATGGATGGTAAATAAAGTATTACTTAGTTTTTATATGTTGCAGCAATTTTGCGACAGTCTACATATGAACAAAATGTCAAACAATGAACTACGAGCCATCATGCAGGAGTGTTCAGTGTCCCACTCGGAATTAGTCAAGGAGGCAGCTATGGGACAAGGCTTTGATCGCCACATGTTCGCGTTGAAGAAAATCGCCGAAGACAACAACTTGCCAATGCCAGAAGTTTACAATTCTTACGAATACAACTTCTTGAATAAATCCATTTTGAGCACCAGTACATTGTCGTCGCCCAGTGTGATGGCTGGTGGGTTTGGGCCAGTAGCCAAGGAAGGTTTCGGAATTGGGTAGGTTACACCATCACAGGGTCAATGTATGAATGCATGTATATCTGTATGTGCTGAATATGTTAATGCAAATGAATAAATAAAATAATATTAAGCACACACAGATTAGTAGAAGGAAGCATTTTGTTTTTTGACTTACCAATTTTTTTTTCTTTAATATTAAAAGAGTGAATCTAATGTTCCCAGTTCCTACTTCTCTGCACGGCATTTTGCAAATCTACTAGCATGTAATATGTAGCACTACTTGTCTCATTCACTCTGTTTGAGATGCTGTAAAGTGCGAGATTAACAAATGGTTGAAATTATACTTATCCTTAATTCATTTGTCTGTTTTATTCCAGATATTCCGCATTCACTGATAAACTGGGTGCAGCGGTGACAAGCTACAAACCGCACAACGACAGTTCCAAATTTATCGAAGCCCTCCACAAATCATTCCTAGACATTACAAAAATTCTGTCTAATTAGTTATTTAAGAATATTTATTTGTGTTGTAACCGTACAACGAAGTTGTCCGTGTTTTAGATCATAATAATATTGGTCGATACGAATGTATAAATGTGACATTTTGTACTCAGTTTATAAATTCCTAAGGGTAAGGCATTAGTTGTAGCACCATTGATAAATTGCTGCCCTGTCAATGACGTAATCAAAAATAGAATATTCCTTTCCTGTTTTTGCTAACATTGTTGGCAGGGCTGCTATATATTTATTTAAATCATAATAATGGATAAATTGAAGAGGTGCATAATTTCCATAGGTGGTCATTGAAAAATAAGTATTAGCTCCGGAATTATGGCCACTAAACTCTCAATAAACTTCTCAAAGTTGTAATTGTAACTATTAATTTTTATTTGATTGTATACAAATTTTATTAAGCTAAGTAAAGTAAGATAAAGTGTTATTGCCTACTTTTTATGAGGTGTTATACTTAGATTTTCTACAGCAACAGGAGTCTGTGAGGGTTCTATATTGGCTCACATAAATTTCTAAATCCTATTCTTTGTCTTACTACCGATTTGTGTTCATAATAATCTCTCTTCATAATTTTATTTTTCATACTTTTTTTATTCATACATTTTTATTACTACCATCGGAGCTCATAACAGTTAGTAATCATAATTTTTTTATCAATACTGTTACTACCAAGAACCATTTAAAATACATAATTTTTATTTTCAGATCTTTTTTCTTCATAACATTCATTGATCATATTGTTTTAATTAATAATGTTGTTACTAAGAACATACTTCAACTCATAATGTTGTTGTTCAGAATAATTTACTTTATAACAGACATACTCGTATCTTTAAAAAAATCATATATAATTTAATAGAGTAGATAAGCATGCAGAGCATGCAGCATGAAAGCAAGCATGCAGCATGCATTGGTATCTCCTCGTCTCCGGCGCTGCGGGATGTGCAGCCCTTCCGCCCTTGCGTAACGAGGCTCAGGCACCCACGCTTGCTTCCGCAGCTTCGGCTTTTTGGATCGCCATCGGCGCCTTCGGCGCCTCGGCGACCAGCCTCAGCCGCTCCAGCTCACCCGGGCGCCTGAGCCTCGTTACAGCGGGCGAGGGCTGCCCTCCCTCCGCGCCTCCGGCTTTTAAATTACACTCTAGGGGTAGGGCAGACAAGACTACGTGGAGTCGGTTTTGCAGCGATTCGTTTCTGTCACGTTAGTTTTGTGGCACAAAATATTGCCTGTTTTGGACCATTTCAAATTAATTTAATGTTAAAATACGATTTAATACGAATATAGACATCATGATTTTCAATAATATGGATAAATACACTTATGAGTAATAAATTTATGAAAACAAATTATTAGGATACATCACATTTATGAATATTATAGTTATTTATTCGAATGATTATGAGTTTCGATCATTAGTATAGAAAAATATATGAAAACAAATATTAGTAAAAACTAAGTGTATGATTAGTGACATTATGAATATCAATGATTATGTTTTTAAATATGTAGGTTTTAATTTTTTTATGAAGAATGATCATTATGGTATCAAATTGTATGAGAAATATTTTCGGACCTCCAATGATAGGAATTGAAAAGTTATGTAAGAAAATGCGCTACCGTCTGTGAGTCCTTTTTCGCCAGCTCGGTTAACTATTTAATTGATTCCAAAGCAAGTAAAGTCTAATTTTACAGTTAATTGAAAAATAAGGGTTTTAAGGCCTAAATGTATTGTGCCTTGATGATAATACCTATAAGATGAATTGTTATTGGTGGTTGAGAAGAATGGAGTTTATTAAAGACTACCAGTATTCCTGAATTGTGCCTTCAATTAAATGGTATGACGGATGTTTGTGTAATGAACTTATTTTCATACTAAAGCATTTTCTATTGTATTTTTTTTACACATTTGTATGCAGAGAAGGTGAATATTTACAAAATGAATTGAAGTTATAATAAAATAATATACGTTTTTGTTAATTTATATTTCATTTTATTTTATACCTAATAACATACTTTTACATTTACCATTAAAATTTTTAGTAGAATGCGACGTTATTGACGGGCTGTAGCGGGTGTATTAGGTATTTCATCTCAGATCATAGATATTTTGTGATAGAAGATGTGCAGAATATTAAAAACTCGTTAGGTAATGACTGGCTTGGTACCTACCTACCTAAAAATTCCTCTTCAATATGAATACTTAAACGGTAATGCCTTTACCATTTCCGTGTCACATTATCTTACTAATGGGTAAACATTTTTTTGCGATATGAAAATGACAAAGGCGTGTCGAATTTTTATTATTTGCCTAACAAATTAAGCCTCGCCTTTAATCTATAGCTAGCTACAGAACTACTCTATGGCGAATTGGCGGGTACAACGATAAAATAACCTAATAATAGGTACATTGTATACATGATTGTCTGCACGCCAGGAATAACAATCAAAAATAAATAGCACAGTAGGCTACTGAATAAATAATACATTTTAATGTTTATCTATTCTGTAGCCTACTGTGCCATTTATACTTCCCATGACTATAATAGAGATATAGGTGTGGGGTGCTTTAACAATGGTTCAGTGTGTGACCACCGACGACGACTATGGTTATCGATTTCCATGTCCATCTTGTACCTACCTACTACAGGTCAATTCATAACCCGCACCGCAAATTACAACTGCATACAAGACCCAACTACTGGCTCAGTGTTTCACGAAACTAAGCAGGATTTTGTACTAAAGAACTTTTTTATATAAAGTAAAATGAATACTAATAAAATTTTGCTCCAGCAATCAGCATTATAAAGGTAGATCATTGCCTTCACCATTGATTTAATTTGAGGAAGGTTTATACATACGACTCTAATGGCACACCTTTTAAAATTTTATATTTGCATAGAGTGTAGTATTTATGTTCTACAAGTTAAGGTTTAAATTGTATTGGGCTAGGTATTACATAGTTTTGTACGGCTGTACGCAGAATCAACAGCGTTCCTATCTACGGACACACATAACGTACAAACGCTTTTATTCTATTCACTCTTAACAAAAAAAGTTTCAAGTGATTTATTTAAACAATAATTTCCGTATGTAACAAGATCCTTAACTTCTGTTAATTATTTTTTTCTCTGAAAACTAAAATATTGATTCTGCACTTAGCAAAGAAGTGAATTCTTGAAATGGAATGGTTGTTAGGACATTCTTCCACTGGGTCTGTTTTAAATGTCAAAGTTCATTCCTCCAGCATCGGAAAAGGTGGTGGTTTTGTGTTGTGATGAGAATGAAATACAGTGAGATTCATTTTATAAAGCTAAATATGGAGTTGTGAGCTTTTAAGGTGGAGTTAAATTTCAAGGTAATTTATTGCTTCATTTCTAATTGGTAAACGATTCGAATCTAATAAGGTTTCACTCGGTAATGACTACTTGCTGTGCTGAGTGAGCTTCTGTTAGTTTTATTTTCCGACGATTCGATGGATCTCTAAACTACAATTATTGTTCAAAGGTTTTGAACATTTTACATTGATAAATGTAGATGTTTTGATATGTTTAGTAGGTATAATTTGTTTAGCCGTCGCTAGCTATTACGAAAATAACTAGGCACCTGCCTGGTACAACGTAGTACTTTCATCAGTGGCAGCATCTTTCATTCTAGCATCTTTCATTAATACCATTATTTTCTTTGTCAATGACAAAAGTGCCTAAACAGATTTTTGCTACCTAACATTATACAAAAAAAAACAGGCCCTGTGATTGTTTTAGCTTGAAATCACAAATTAGAAAATAGAAACAGGCCTCATTTCTTTCTCTTGTTTAAATCAATTAATGTATTATTAAAATCAATGATTGTAATGCATTTTTTGTTGTTGTTTTTGTCTATCTTTTATCACCAGATAAATAAAAAATTACAAACAAAACAACATAAAAATAACAGTCAAAACATTGCCTGCAATATAAATTCTAAGCAAACAAGTAATAATTCAATAAAATCTAAAAAGAAAAATATCAAAATTCTGAGTTTTTGTCTCTGATAAACAGTGTTGAAAATAAAATTAATGCCAAATTGGTAGACCACTTTTAAACATTGTGAGAGGATGAAAAAAAAATCCAGATTCAGCTGTCTTAGTAAAATAGAGCAGTGTGGTCATTTAATTGTAGTAATCTGCTTTCTATTTGAGACTTATTTCCAGTGCCCCATTCTCTTGTATCATACTTCTGATTCTGGTTTAGAGGGTTGGAATAGACCTCGTTTTGATGATATAATAAAATCTCAATTTTTTCTAAAATAACTATGGTAATATTTTTATTTGTTTCAGGAATGCTCCATAATCAAACAAGATGCTAATTAAGGAGTACCGAATACCTTTGCCCTTGACGGTAGAGGAATACCGGATTGCTCAGCTGTATATGATTGCAAAGAAGAGTAGGGATGAAAGTTCAGGAGAAGGAAGTGGTGTAGAGATTTTGATCAATGAGCCATATGAAGATGGGCCTGGAGGAAAAGGTCAGTATACACAAAAAATATATCATGTTGGTAGTCACTTGCCAGGATGGTTCAAAAGTTTACTTCCCAAATCAGCCTTAACCGTTTCCGAAGAAGCTTGGAATGCCTATCCTTATACAAAAACGAGATACACATGTCCATTTGTTGAGAAATTTTCTCTGGAAATTGAAACATATTATTATGGTGACAATGGCCACCAAGAAAATGTCTTCAACCTAAGTGGAAGTGATTTAAAAAGTAGGATTGTTGATGTTATTGATGTTGTTAAAGATCAACTTTATGGCAATGATTATGTAAGAGAAGAAGATCCTAAATGTTTTGTGTCTCAAAAATGCAATAGAGGTCCTTTAACTGATACTTGGTTGGAGGACTATTGGGCAGAAGTCCAGGGAAAACCACAACCACTGCCAAATGGAAAATCTCTCATGTGTGCCTATAAACTTTGTCGAGTGGAATTCCGTTATTGGGGGATGCAAACCAAATTGGAGAAATTTATTCATGATGTTGCCTTAAGAAAAACCATGCTAAGGGCGCACAGACAAGCGTGGGCCTGGCAAGACGAATGGCATGGATTAACAATGGAAGATATACGTGAAATCGAACGACAAACGCAACTTGCCTTGAAAAAGAAAATGGGTGGTGATTCAGGTGATGAACAAGACATTTCTGAGGAAAATTCAAAGTCTCTTGCAGCTACCATGAGTAGTTTAGAGAAAAATGAAGACATGCCAACTCCATTGGCTCCTAAAAGAAGTAACGATAAAAGGATCTCAAAACATGTAACCCCTGAAGGTACTCCTCCATCAGAACATAAGAGTTCTAAGAGTAACCTAAGGTCATCTTCTTCTGGTTCTATAAAAAGTTTGCAGCAGCAGGTAGCCAATTGGCGCATGGAGACAATCGTAAGAGAATCAGAAACTGAAACTGGATCTGAAGATGAGTTTTATGATTGTGAATCTTCATTCAACAAGTGGTCTTCAATGTGTTCTTTAGATGCAGCAGATATTGATATTTCTCCAACCCAAGGAGATCAAGCGCAAGACGATAGTATATTCAACCCTACATTCTTGAAAAGAGTTACATCAGAAAGAGGTTCCCGTAGAATGGTGACACTGCAGAGTCACCAAAGTATCGACGGCTGTCCTGAAACACCTGTTCATAGTTCATGCCCAACTACTGTGCTAATATTAGTTTTCCATGCTGGTAGTGTTTTAGATGCTAATGTTGATATGACAGCTAAAAAATCAGACGTAACTACATTCAAGGGTGCTTTCGAATCAGTAATGCGTCAACATTATCCAACTTTAGTAGGACACGTCACTATAAAATTAGTATCGTGTCCATCTGTATGCACGGAAGCTCTAGGCGTTCTTTCAACACTTAGCCCTTATAGTTTTGACTGTTCGCCATCCACTGTTGAATCGCCTTCTCTAACAAATGATCTTATACCTATTGGTGCTATACCTTTAATTGCTACTAGTTCTCCTGACTATGTGGAATCAGTAACAAAAACCATTAACTCAGCCAATGCTGTTTACAGTGAATTCATGAAATCTGATGATGGCAGAGGATTTAATGGTCAAGTTTGTGTTGTAGGTGACAGCATGGGTTCTGTTTTAGCATACGATGCTCTTTGCCGAACTTTACAATACCAATCTCGTCACGATAGTGAAAACAGCATTTTAGATACTGAGATTACAATACCAAATGACACTACTGAACATTATCTGAATAAATCACACTTGCAAGCTCCTACGCCAAGGCGACGTTCATCTTCAACGAGTGAGAATCAAATTAAATTTGAATTTGAAGTCAGTGATTTTTTCACATTTGGTAGTCCACTATCTTTAATTTTAGCATCACGAAAGATTTCGGATGATAAGTCGCGTGATATTGTGAAGCCACCTGTCCAACAGGTCTTCAATCTGTTCCATCCTACTGATCCGGTTGCTGCTAGAATGGAACCTTTACTTTCTGCAAGATTTACAAACTTACCACCAATTAATGTTGCTAGATATGCAAAATATCCCTTGGGTAATGGTCAACCTTACCATCTCATGGAATTAATACAAAGTCATCCACAATTATTTGGTGATCATTTACAAATGCCTCCTACTCCAGTATTGAGAAGATTATCGGAAGCATCAGTTCAGAGTACAGTGAGTGGTTTAGTTGACAACATTCCCTTAATTACAATGAATGCTTTACAGCAAAAATGGTGGGGTTCTAAACGTTTGGACTATGCCTTATACTGTCCCGAAGGTTTAACAAACTTTCCCACTAATGCTCTGCCTCATTTATTCCACGCCAGTTACTGGGAGAGCTCCGATGTGATAGCCTTTATTTTACGTCAAATTGGGCAT